CCCCCCTGATATTTCAGGTGTTGAATCGCTTGACATATGCCTCAACTCTGTCACACTTGAGAAGGTTGAATTCTCCAATAGGACGTGAAGGTAATTGACTTCCCCCTTTTGGGCTTGTCCTGTTAATGCTAAATAAATTTGGGTCAATTCATGTATCTAAATTTATATTTTCGTTGCCTTTGCTTTTGCTCACTATATTTTTTCTCTTCCCTCTTTCTGGGGTTTGTGTTGGTGGGTGGGGGATGAATTTAGTTGGTGCTGTGCGTTTGGTCGGTTTTGCTCTCTTTGCCCTAATCTTTACTATTGATATGATCCTTGTGCAGGGAAACTCGCTAAACCCAGGCAATTGCACAATTCTCAATGGGGGATGATGTGTCCTGCAGAAACACCAGAAGGACAAGTAATTTGTTATTTGGAATTCTTATGCATGAGGGTGGGGGTGCTGTTGTGTTATTCTTTATTTTTTGTAAATTACTTGATGGTCTTTCTTATGATGCCATCAGGCATGTGGTCTGGTGAAGAATCTAGCATTGATGGTGTATATAACAGTTGGATCAGCAGCATATCCAATTTTGGAGTTTTTGGAGGAATGGGGCACAGAGAACTTTGAGGTTAGTAAATACTCCGTATTATTTTTAGGAGCAGATGTATTATTTAGTGGGTTTGTGATAACTTACTGTCTGATTGTAGGAAATTTCTCCTGCTGTCATTCCACATGCCACAAAAATATTCGTCAATGGTAGTTGGATTGGAATCCACCGAGACCCTAATAAGTTGGTCAGAACACTTAGACAGTTAAGAAGACGGGTGAGTATCTGATCTCAAGACTCATATTGCACACATTGTTACTGAGGCACTTTTTCTAGTGAAATTATTGATGAATCATTTTGGGTTGCTCAACAAAAAATGCTCCAAGGGCATTTTCATCATTCTATTTATGAATATTTTATGCCTTTGAGATTTTATTTGATCATTACTAGATTTTCTGTCTTGTTTGCTTCTAAACATCCCTAAACTGACCTATAAAAATCCCCCCTCTAATGTCCTATATTTTTTTTTCTTTTTTCCTGCTTATTAATGCTCTTTAATAAAACATTTGCATGTTTTTTGGGCCATCAGGTTGATGTCAATACAGAGGTTGGGGTAGTTCGTGATACCCGTTTGAAGGAACTACGGATATACACTGACTATGGCCGTTGCAGTCGCCCATTATTTATTGTTGAGAAGCAACGACTTCTCATTAAGAAGCGAGACATACAAGCATTGCAATTAAGGGTATTTTGTCCTAGTTTATATGCATAAGTTTGGGTTAAGATCCATGATTGTGGCACACTCAAAGAAATCATTTTGATGATATGTGAAAGGATGATTACCTTTTTTTTTAAAAAAAATACTCCGTATGAACTTTTAAGTGCTCCTGTTGAGATATGAATATTCAGTGAGGTGCACAAGAAAATATGGTTTTACGTATCAAGGGAGGTCCTTCAAACGCTTCTCTTGTCTAGAAACTTTCCACGAATTGAGTTTTGGACCTTATTTGCTCCACAAAACTAAAGGAATAAGATAGATGGGGCATAGAATATAAGAGAAACTACCCAATAATAGAAATCACGCTCCCTTGTCATCTCTTTGAATTTCTCAACTTATTCCATAATTTTCTCTCCTTTTTTGATCTCAGGAATCTCCAGAAGAAGGTGGTTGGCATGATTTGGTGGCCAAGGGATTTATTGAGTACATCGATACTGAAGAGGAAGAAACAACTATGATAAGCATGACCATTAGGGTATGTATGGGAAGGGGCTTTTGGATGGGGATTGGAAAGGAATTTTTTTTATTATCTTGTTTTTAGAGAGTTATCTATGGCTTATATTAATAAATAAATGATCAAGACATTAACTTTGCAATTTATATCTTCTTTTTTTGTTTTGGGAAAATTATACACTTAAGCAAGCTTTTCCTTTAAATGATAAATAACCCGGTACTTTAATTAGTCTCCACGTAAGTAATCAAAGAACAGCTAAACTAAGGTGAGATGAATGTTGATTTAAGGTTTCAGAATGCTGATATGTCCACCTTAATTTTTCAATCCAGGATCTCATACAAGCAAGAACGAATCCAGGGGAGGCTTATTCTGATACTTATACTCATTGTGAAATTCACCCCTCACTAATATTGGGTGTCTGTGCTTCCATTATTCCATTTCCTGACCATAACCAGGTACTTCACTGTAACACTTGTATTTCCTCCCATCCCCACCCCCTTCAGAGGCATATGATTTTCTTCACCATCTAAAGCACTGTTTATTCTATTTTTCAGTCTCCCCGTAATACGTACCAGTCGGCTATGGGAAAGCAGGCGATGGGAATTTATGTAACCAACTACCAGTTTCGTATGGTATTTTTTTTTTTGAAAAACCACATACTCTTCTGTGCATTCATGAACTTCGCAAAATGTGTATGTGAATTACAGAGTATTATTATTGTTACTACTATTTTAAAAATATTTTAATTCATTTTCAGGATTCGTTGGCGTATGTGCTGTATTATCCTCAGAAGCCGCTTGTAACCACTCGAGCTATGGAACATTTACACTTCAGGCAGTTGCCTGCTGGCATTAATGCCATTGTGGCCATTGCATGTTACTCGGGATACAACCAAGAAGATTCTGTCATCATGAATCAGTCGTCCATTGACCGTGGGTTCTTCAGATCTTTATTCTTCCGCTCGTATAGGGATGAAGAGAAAAAGATGGGGACACTGGTGAAAGAGGACTTCGGTCGCCCTGACAGGTCCAACACCATGGGGATGAGACACGGATCCTATGATAAACTGGACGATGATGGTTTGGCCCCACCTGGGACTCGAGTCTCTGGTGAGGACGTGATTATTGGCAAAACTACCCCCATCTCCCAGGATGATGCACAAGGGCAAGCTGCCCGTTACACCAAGCGTGACCATAGTACCAGCTTACGTCACAGCGAAAATGGAATGGTTGACCAGGTCCTACTAACTACAAATGCCGATGGATTGAGATTTGTGAAGGTGAGGGTTAGATCGGTACGGATTCCTCAGATTGGGGATAAGTTTAGCAGTAGGCATGGTCAGAAAGGGACTGTTGGCATGACCTACACACAAGAAGACATGCCCTGGACTGTGGAGGGCATCACCCCTGATATTATCGTCAACCCCCACGCTATACCTTCGCGTATGACCATTGGTCAGCTGATTGAGTGTATCATGGGAAAGGTTGCGGCCCACATGGGGAAAGAAGGAGACGCCACTCCCTTCACTGATGTCACTGTGGACAACATAAGCAAGGCACTGCACAAGTGTGGGTACCAGATGCGCGGGTTTGAGACCATGTACAATGGTCACACTGGGAGACGTCTCACGGCTATGATCTTCCTGGGGCCCACTTACTACCAGAGGCTGAAGCATATGGTCGACGACAAGATCCATTCTAGGGGGAGGGGACCGGTGCAGATTCTGACACGGCAACCTGCAGAAGGTCGATCGCGTGATGGAGGGCTGCGGTTTGGGGAGATGGAACGTGATTGCATGATTGCTCATGGGGCTGCTCATTTTCTCAAGGAGAGATTGTTTGACCAGAGTGATGCCTATAGGGTTCACATCTGTGAACATTGTGGGTTGATTGCCATAGCTAACCTCAAGAAGAACTCTTTTGAGTGCCGAGGGTGCAAGAACAAGACCGATATCGTCCAGGTACATTACAACACTGTTTCTTGCACAAATTTTCTGTATTTTCCCATTTAGATTTCTTCGTGCCGTGGTGAAATGAATGTGATGGTTTTCTTGGTCTTTTGTTTGTTTGTTTGTTTGTTTGTTCAGGTTCACATTCCCTATGCCTGCAAATTGTTGTTCCAAGAGCTCATGGCAATGGCCATTGCGCCAAGGTTGATGACGAAGGATATCAAGCAAGCGAAGAATCAAAAGAAGAAAGGTGCTTGAGGATGATGAATTCAAGAGAGCCTTTACCATTTTTTGCAATTTTTTTATTTTATTTTAAAGAAGGGTCCTAATGAAACGAGGACTGATGTATAAAGGTTTACATTGCATGATGACATAAAAAGATTGATGTTTCTTCTTAATATTCTTAATATTAATATTAATATTATTATAATTATTAATATTAATATTATTATTATTAATATTATTATAATTATTTTTATTTTTATTTTTATAATATTAATAATTATTATTATTCTTAGTATTATTAGTTTTGAGGTATTGTTGTTATTATTATTATTATTATTATTGTTACTACTATTACTATTATCATTATATTATTACGATATTATGTTTGGTTTAAGAAATATGAAAGAGAAGAAAATAATAGATGAAAAAAATAATTTTTTTGTTTGGTTATGGAAGAAAAAGAAAAGTCGAACAAAAAGAAAATGGGAAGGGAAAATCAAATTTCTTTCATTTTGATAAGAAAATTAGGAGATTTTTTTTTCATCCAAATTTCTTGAAACAATGATAGTGTAAGTAAAACCATGCCATCTAAACAAAGTTTTCAAATCAAATAGGTCAATGCCATCATAGTTCAGTGTCAATTATTGTTGTGTCCATAACTTTCAAGTTTCAAGTAATCCATTAAGATGTACATAATGCAAACTACATACTCCGTAAAAAATAACAATGCGATGCTATAGACATTTTATCCAAACATAACAGCAGCTCATCAATTGACACTCACAAGTTGGGACTGTCCCACTCATTTACCCTAAATTGCTCCAAATTTAACTACTAAAATTTTCCTTTCATTTTTCTTTTTTGGCAAAGTATGTATACTTTGATCATCATATGAAGAAAATATTTTTATAAAAAAATGAAGATAATTTTCTTCCAGTTGTACAAACTTCATATCATTATAATATAAAGTTAATATCATTAGTTTTAGTGTAGCAAGAAAACTTAATTGTGAAACCTGAAATCATGAACTCCAATCTAACAAGAAAACATAATAAATGACCACTCATGGTGGGAACCATTTTAGTACTGAAATTAACCGGTATGTCCAAAGCTTGCTTAGCTTAAGTATAGCAAGCATTCTACAAAGTTATGACAAATGCTAGAGAAGTGTAACTGGATCTAGAAAATATGAAAGTTGTGATTCAAATTTCTTATTCGCACAAGACTCGTCCACATTTTACTCATCAAGCAGAAAATCCTCATCAGATGCATTGTCCAGAAATGAACCAAGTTTCTTTCTCAGAGTGCTAAATGTTTTATCATCCTGTGGAGCAAAAGAACAATATAATAACACGCATATAGATAAGAGGTTGAGTTTGTGGAGGAGATGGGGCAAGCATGGAGGGAAGGGATCAAAAGAAAGTGCATCAGTTCACCTGTTTCTTCTTCTTCTTCAGCGACTCTTCTATTTCAGCCAATCTTTTCGAAGTGTCTTTCTCGAGTTCAGACAGCATGTTCTTCTCCTTCTTCCCTGAATCAGTCAAGAGAATTAGTCTCTTGATTTCTCGAAGCTTAAATAAATACAGTGAAAACAAAGCATTTCACAACTCACTTTGTTGCTCATATCGTGTGAATAACCTTAGTTTCTCTTCCTCAAACTTGGACACAGAGTCTGTTGAATGTTACCAGCAGTGTCAGTATTCACTGTATTATTTAAAGGCTTTTACGTGAACATTAAACTATTCTGCACAATGTCATTTAAAATATGAAAATCTCAATGACTCAAGAAAAATCTTCTCCAATGTTTCCTTGCACTTTCGAAAATCAAGACAACAAGCAAAGGGAACACATATTTTATAAAGCACCTTTCAGAGTCTGCAGATGAGTAGTTTTGTCCTTGATGAACTTCTCATAGATTGCTTGAAACTTGGCACTTTCATTCTTCAATAAGTTCTCACACTGCAAGCAAGAAGAAACATTACAAATTAATTCTAGGGTAAAAATGTAGTGCAAGTGTGCAACACTTTAACACAAACAAATGCATCTTTTCCAAGTGATGCAGACCTCTTTAGAGCTCTTGGAGAGTGCTTTGGTGAAGTTTTGCCTGAAATTTTACACATGTAATGCATAGACAATCTATGGCAGTATTTCACAAATGACGGCTTAATTCACAAGACCAGATGAATTTCTTGTCACCTTTCTTTCTCGAATTTGGACTTCACGTCTTCGATATTTGCCCTGATTTCTGAAAAACCACTGTCAAAAAAAGCATGATAAGGTAGGATGAAGACTGATATAGTGAAGGATTCCTTTGAAACAAAAACATGTTAGATAAGAAGTTCAAGTTCATTGGGAGATTCTAGAGTTGTGTTGTGAAAGTTTAGGAGCTCCCCAATATGGAAACTCTTCAAAGCTCTTTTGTCCTCATTCATGTCCTAAATCAAATGCAACAAAGGAAGATGAAAAAATTACAGTACAAAATCCACCACAATATAATGTCATTTCCATTGTCGTCAAATAGAAAAGAAAATTGAGTACCGAGGATGATCTATTCGACTATTCCCAAACACTAGGCTAAATTTACTAACACAGGTCTGTAGCATGTCAAAATGACTGCACAAAATGAACCAAACAGGCAAACAAATACGTTCTAGAATTCCATATGATTATGTGAACTTGAAATTCACAACAATCTTCATAATCAGCGTTTGAATCCATAAATTGACCAAATCCAGAAACACAGCTAAGCATATGGCTGAAATTTGAGCCGCGAGAAACTGCAAGCCCTACTCATAACTCACCTAGATATCGTCTCTTCATTCTTCTTCCGATCATCCTTATGAGCTTTCTCTTTTATCTGTTTCAATGCCGTCATCAGAACACTGATATCTCTGCAATTCCGTCCGAATTTTTTCGAAATCAGACAAAATCAATCTGTTTAATCACCGGGAAAAAACGAGGACCGAATAAAATAAATAAACAAAAAATCGAACTCGGATAGATCTGCATCGAAGTCCTCTTCGAGGATGACTCGCTTCCGGACTTCCGATTTCGGCTGCTCCGGTTCCAGAACTCGCTTCTTCGCGCTCGATTTCGCAGCCGACATTTGTGAAAGGAGATGAAGATCAACGAAGGAGATGGCAGTGAGTTGTTGTGGCCGGTGAGGAAGAGCTTGAAAAGGAAATGGAAGTTGTGAAGGATCGAATTAATTTTAGAGAGCAAAAGCTTGAATTGTTTGGCGCCAAGCGAATTCCCATGCGATTTTTGAGGGTAGGAGGGGGAGCTTCAACAGTCAACACTCTCTCTTTGAAATGAAAGGGAGTCTTCTCAATTGAATCTATTTAAAAAAGTCCAACATGTGTAATTAATAATTATTATTTTTTTAAAATAAAAATGAATCCTGCCCAATTGCAAAAAAAAAACACATTCATCAATTATGCTGACTTATATAATTTTATTTTGTAGTGCTTTTATTTTTATTTTATGTACGTAATTTTTATTATATGGAATTTTATATTTTGAAAAATTCTTTTATTTGGGGATGAAAGCACATAAAGAAATTGAAGAGAAAGGAAGGGTCAAGAAATTAGAGCGGGAGGAACCTTTTAAATGCCATGTGCTTTTATATTTTAATAATGTTTTTTTTAAAAATAGAATCATCAGTGTCTAGAATTTGTTATCTTCAATTTATTCTTAGTAATTATTTTTATTAAAATTAGATTAGAAATAATTTTAAGTATGTATAACTAAAACAGATCAAATTTGACCAGATCGGATAAGACCTTAATAAATTTAGATCAGATCCAATAAGATCAGATGAAGAGAACAAACTCTTAGAGAGTTAAATTATACTCCCTTCGTCTCAGACTATTTGTTTTGTTTTAACTTTTTTCAATAAAAAATAATTGACTTTTGATCGACAAATAAAGAAAAAATTATATACTCTGTAATATATTACTTAAATAAAATAATATTTTTTTCAACTCTTTTCAGCTTCTTCTAATAACGACTTAAAAATATTATTTACATATCGTGAATATACAATAATATCATATAACTAAATTTATAACATTCAACTTCAAATATGAATAAAGATAAATTCTTTTATTATCTAAAGTTAGTTTCTTACATACTTCGTATTTGTTTGGGTAATCATTTGATTGACGAATGGCAAAGCCTGATATTGACAGAGATTCTATGTTTAGCATAGTCATCTTGTTGCGTAGTTACCTAGAATCAAACTCTGATGTTGTTTAATGTTTATCCTCTTAACACCCCTTACCTTGCTAACTGTGTTACACCTGGACTAAATCATATTAGTTCATGATTTTTTTAAGTGGCATGTACTCCGTATTAAATCATATTAAAAATAAACATTGAAGAAAAAAAGTTGAAATTAGAAATTAAAAAATAAAATTTAAAATTTTCAAAAATATTTAAAAATAAAAAAAAGTAAAACTAATAAAAAATAAGAAGACTTTTGGGTCTAAGAAGAAGAAGAGGGCAACACTGCAAAAAATAAAAAGGGAAGAAGAAGAAGTAAGAGGATGGCGAGATAAAGGAGAAAAAGATTTGCCCATCGTGCCAAGTTTCGAATAGGGGTGGGGTGGAGGGGTTCGATCGTTACAGCTGTTTAAAAATATTTGATATAAAAAAATCGTCCACAATCTGGGTAATATAATCGAAAAAATACATATCCGATCTGGTATTTTAGTTTTTCGTTATTTCGGATCCGATATCCAACAAGTTAAACTAAATTGGATAAGATGAAATGAAATATTAAGATTTCAAATATCCAAATTTTATATTCAAAAAAAATAAATGTACAAGTAAACTTGAACAACATTACTATCTCAACAATTTTCAAACCCTAAGGCCCCGTTTGGTACATGGAATTCAAAGTATTGAATTGGAATTGGGAGTTTCAATTCTAATTTTGGTATTTAGTAGTAAAAAACTTTCATGGATTTGGAATTGATAGTACAAAAAATGAATTAGAATGACTGAATTCAATTCTATTGAATTGAATTTCAAAGAATTTCAATTTTAATTCAATTTCAATTCCTTCAATTCCGTATATTAAACGGACCCTAAGTAAAGTTCAATTTTTGTACTCATTCATTTTTTCTTACTTTATATGTTTATTATGTGGAGACTTTGTTTTCTAGATATTTATAAAACTATGACTTAAATAAATTCTCAAGGTAATATGAGTATATGACATATAAAACTGTTTTGATTTAAAATTTAAGGTTAATATTGAGCTCCACTATTTAAAAATTAAAATTGATCCCAAATAGTTTTTCAGAATTATTTGAAAAAATAATACTCCGACCGTTTCAATTTAAATTATCTGTTTTACTTTATGATTTTGTACTAAAATTATTTACAAATCATTTTTTATGAAAAATTGTGTATAATTTAAAAATAAAATTACATATTCAAAAGCTACATTAAAGGATCTACAAAGCTAGTGGTGACATGACTATATTATTTTATTAAATGACTAACGTAAACAGGAAAAAAAGTGAATGAAGTTTGACCCCGTGAATAGTAAACAATCAATTTCATTTGAGACAAGGGGAGTAATTCTAAAAGTAAAAATTCATTTCGCATATTCCATTGATTTGTTCCAATTAAAATTTTGAATATCCAAAAATTGGGTATCCGTAGATTTACAATCAAGTACGTAAGAGCACCGGCAGTGGCGTGGCTGTGCCACTACCACGCCTGCCACATAAGCACATGAAGTAGAATGCCTCGCAAGGCTATAGTGATTTGCCATGCTTGGCAAGTAATGGGCGAGGCAATATTTTTGTTTTCTTTTTTTACCTCCATAAAATAAAAGATTTTTTAAAAGTAGATGTATTTTTTTTGGAAAAAATTTAAGTAAATTCATTTTTAATACTCTATAGTAAAAATAAGACATATGTAAAATTTGAAAAAAATGCAATTTTTTTAAATAAGAAATATTTTTAAAAAGAGTATAGTTTATAAAAATATAAACAAAATAAATTTAAATAATTTAAATAATTTTGAAATATTTTTATTTTTTATTTGAAAAATATATAAATAAAATAAATTAAAATAATTAAAATGTGCAAAAAAAGTAAAATTGATAAAAACAATGACTTGCTACTGCATGACATGCCACTCGCTCACTCCACTCTCATGCCACACGCTGACTAGACTGTTTTTTATTGATTGAAAGTTTCTATGTCATCATGTGTCATTTTATTTCTTACTTGCCGGCCCAACAATTTTGGACATTAAAAAAATGGGATTGAATATGCCCAATGAGTAGCCTTGGTCACCCTTTGGCGAATTAATTCGCACAGAGTGAAGAGTGAAGAAGCTGACCAAGTATTTCATGAGGAAATAGGCTTTCATAAAGCCGAATTAATTCCCGTTTGGCACCCCAAAGAGAATAAATTCCCGCACCCGGGAAGAATCTGGACATGGATTTCCACAGTTAGAAATCGGCTTTACCAAAGCCGTTTATTTAAAAAAAAATTGCGAAAAAACTGTTTTGGCTTTTGCAAAGCCGTTTTTAAACCTTTTTTTTTAAAAAAAAAAAAAAAACCTGTTTTGGCCTTTACAAACCCATTTTTAATTCCCTTTCTAAAAAGATAAAAAATTGTTTTGACTTTTAAAAATCCATTTTTAAACAAATAGTTTTTGTTAGAAGAAATATTATGGGGAGAGTAATGCTCGCTCCGTTCTCAAAAACACTTGCTCTTTTATTTTTTTCATTTCTAACAAAACACTTCCACCGACAAAGATGTCGCTGCCGAAAGACACCTCGAGCCCCCATATGCTTATTTAAGTTTCTATCTTTTCAATTACTTCTACATTCTTTTTTTTATTTTAAATTCACTCTTTCTTTTCAATCAATTCTAAAAGTTGTCATCAGCTTTTATCATTAAATAGATGTAAGATATTTTCAAAGAGTGCAAAAAAAGAAAGTGTAAAAGAATATTATGGGTAGGGGTGTATACGAATCGAAGTAAATATATCATTATTCGATTCGTATTCGATTAAAGTAATATGTATTCGAATTCGGATTCGTATATAATTCGAATTTTAAAAAATATTCGTGATCGATTCGATAGATATTTGACGTATTTGAATTCATATTCGAATATTCAAATTCGAAAATATTAGTAATTTTTTTTCTTAAAATAGATTTCTTAAAGACATTAAATTATTATTTTATAATAATCTAAAATGTAGTAAAAATATGTTAGAATGTATATAAATTTATTTATAAATTATAATATTTGAATATATATAAATTTATATGTACACAAAAATTTAATATATTAAAATATGTTAAAATATGTACACAAATATTTAATATATTAGAATATCTATAAATTTGTTTATAAATTATAATATTCGAATAATTCAAATAATAAACGGATCGAATCTATTAATATTTATACTCGAATTCGAAAATAATACGAATCTAAAATATGATTTATATTCGGATTCGAATTCGAATATAGAGAATATGAATCACGAATTGAATATATTTTATTTGATTTCTATGCACTTTTAATAATGGGAGTTTTTTTCAAAATAAGAGCATGTGCAATGGCAAGGAAGAGGCATGCCATGCATTGCCACATCAGCTTTTTCCACACATATCATGACATAGCAAGGCTAAAATGCCTTGTTTTGTGAGGCATGAGTGTGGTACTCCATCCTTCTTTTTTTATTTTTTTTAAATAAATTTTTTTAAAATTTTTTATGAAAAAAATGTACAAAAAAGTAGAATAATTTTTTAATAAAATAGATAATAAAAATATTTTTTTTATGTTTAAAAAACATAAAAAATTGTAAAAAAGTGATAAAAAATAATGACTTGCCATTGTAGAACTTGCCACTCCAATCACTTGCCACACGCTGACTGGACTATTTTTGATTGATTAAAATGTTCCATGTCACCGTGTTGCATTCCATTTTTGCCTTGCCAGTGTTCATGCTAAGGAGACATGCCAATCCATCCCTCCAAACCCGGTCGATTGAGTTGGCATAGGTTAGGGTTTTTTTTTGGTTCTGCACAATTGTGGAGGCGGGACAATTCATCTGGCGGTTGCCAAAAGCAAAACCGCCTCTGTCATTCCTGCATTTGTTGAAGCGATAAAGTAACAGAGAGGTCGGTGGAAGACGATGGTGGAGAGCCGTAAGAGAGGAAGAGAAGCTCCGGCGATAGGAATCGATCTCGGAACCACTTACTCTTGCGTTGCAGTTTAGCAGCCGCAGAACAACCGCGTCGAGGTCATCGCCAACGATTTAGGCAGCCGTACGACGCCGTCTTTGGTTGCCTTCGACGACGTTCAACGCCTCATCGGCGAATCTGCCCAGAACCAGGCCCTACTCAATCCCTCCAATACCATCTTCGGTTCGGTGCCTTTTTAATTTTTGTCTAGTATTTGCATATTTTAATTGCTTTATCGGGAAGCATAACATTGATTTCTGATCCCAAATATCTTCTTTGAATTCCTTCAGACCTTACAAACTAGACTAACCTACATCTACTACTAGCAGATGCAAAGTTTATATTCTGTTATGTCTTATTCTGATCTTAGGATGAGTCCCTCAGTGTGAACCTTTGCCATTTTGTTGGTTGGCACACAATCTATCCTAATCACTACACATGGCCTGATAGGGACATGAGTAATTAAATGGGTCATGATGTAATACACATGCGATGCGTCATATGAGTGATATTTAAGTAAACATTTTGTTTGTTTGCCTAAGCTGATCTTTGCTGATAATAGTAATATTTTATACATAATCTACATATAGTATGCTGTATACCCAAGCACACCATAAAAAAGAAAAGAATATAACAGGTTTGGGCTGGAAGACAAGACCCAGGCCACTTTTTATACATTAATTTATTTTTTATTGTGTACAAATAACAGAAGTGAAGAGACTGATTGGCAGAAAATTTGATGATGCAATGGTGCAGAACGACTTGAAGCTCTGGCCATTCAAAGTCACAGCTTGCCCAGATGGTGGCAGTGGAAAGAAGCCTATGATAATGGTGACTTGCAATGGTGAAGAGAAGCAATTTGCTGCCGAGGAGATATCTTCAATGATCCTCCAAAAGATGAAGATTATTGCTGAGGCATATCTAGGCAAACAAGTAAAGAATGCTGTTATTACTGTTCCTGCCTACTTCAATGATGCACAACGTCAAGCTACAAAAGATGCCGGTATCATTGCTGGGCTTAATGTCTTGCGTATCATCAATGAGCCCACAGCTGCTGCAATCGCCTATGGTTTGGACAAGAAAGGATCTGCAAGTGGTGATCCTGCTGTAAAGAACATACTGGTCTTTGATCTTGGCGGTGGGACTTTTGATGTCTCTATTGTCAGGTTGGAGAAGGATGTTTTTGAAGTCAAAGCAGTTAATGGAGACACACACCTTGGCGGAGGGGATTTCAATAATAGAATGGTGAGCCACTTTGTAGCTGAGTTTGAGAGGAAACACAAGAAAGACTTGAGTGGAAACCCTAGGGCTTTAGGGCGGTTGAGAGCGGCTTGTGAAAGGGCCAAGAGAAACCTCACATCAGCTATTGAAACGTCCATTAGCATTGAGTGTCTCTTTGAGGGCATTGATTTCTCTTTGAGCATAAGCCGTGCGCGGTTTGAGAAAATGAATTTGGATCTGTTCAAAGATTGCATGGAACTAGTTGAAAAGTGTATAAAGGATGCCAAAATGGAGAAGGGGGACATTCATGATGTTGTTATGGTTGGTGGGTCCACCCGGATCCCTAAGATTGAGGAACTGTTGCAAGAACTCTTCAATGGAAAGAAGCTGTGCAAGAGTATAAACCCAGACGAGGCTGTTGCCTGTGGAGCAGCTTTTCATGCTGCATCCCTCACTGGTGCTTGTTTAGGTGTGAATAAGGATGTTGTGCTTGTCGATATTGCTCCATTATCTCTTGGGATTTGGGTGCATGGCGGTGATATGTCTGTTGTGATTCCGAGGAATACTACCATCCCTACAAAGATGACAAAGCACAATTACTCAACTGTTCATGACAACCAAACAGGTGTTCGGTTTCGGGTGTTTGAGGGGGAAATGCCACTAGCACATGACAACAATTTCCTGGGCGAATTTTCCCTCCACAACGTTCCTCCAGCACCCAAAGGTGTTGCTAAGTTTGACGTTGATTTTGAAATCGATGCCAATGGCATCTTGACCGTGTCTGCAGTACTAGTTGGCAGCAACAATAGAGACCAGATCACTATAACCGATCACAGTGCTAGGTTGTCAAAGGCGGAGATTGATCGGATGGTGAAGGAGGCCGAGGATTACAAGGCTCAAGAAGAGAAGCGCAAGAAGGCAGCCGTGGCTAAACATGCTCTAGAGAGTTACATTTACCACATGAGGGACATTTGTAGGGGAAATAGGGTAGGGATGAAAGACAGGATAGCTTTGAGAGATGCAATTGAGAAGACGGTCCAATGGTTGGACTGGAATAACGTTCTCGATGATTCTACCAAGTTTGAGGAGAAGAAGAAGGAGCTCGAGGTCTTATGTAAGTCTGTCAAAACCTGTGTCAAGCCTGAGATTATTGAGATATTGGACTGACAGTGGCAGATGCTATATATAGAGGTTTGATGTCTTTTTGCACGTCTATGCCATGGGCTAGGCATTATGGGTAGTTGTTTGGTCTTTTTATTTGTTTAGGGAGATTAGCGTTCAGATGGACGAAGTAAGAAGATGAACATGGCTAGGTTTTGTTTTTTGGAAAGCATTTTATTTATTTTTTGTTTTAATGCTATTTCGAGTATAAACAGTGTTTGTACATTCTTGTAGTTTATCCAAACAACACTTTAGAATTACTTCCCTCACAGCACCCCAAAGGGTTGGATATAATTAGTATTTTCAGATGTTATTTCAGACAGAGAAGTATTTTTTTACCTATCTCTCTAACCATACTTCTGTCCTAGAGTACTTGTTATGTACTCCATCCGTTTCAGAAAACTTTTCTCTTTTTTTCTTGTCCCATGAAATCCGTCCATATTCAATTTTAAAATTACTTTTACCTATATTAATTTTAATCTATCTACTACTTGGTCCGTCCCTGAGTGTTTGTCCACTTTTGACTTTTGGAACTGTTTATCTAAACATTTAACTCATCAAATTTTCTCAATGTGTAAGCCTAAAAATAGTCATATGTGATCTTGTTTGATTCGTCTTAACATATAGATTATTAATATATAATTTTTATAATTTTTTAATATACAAATTACAAGATAAAATGGATTAAAGAAGTGCATTGGATGGTGTGCAAAAATGAAAGTGGACAAACACTCAGGGACGGAGGGAGTACATCATAAATTTTTTATTAATAATTTACCAATCACATCTCAGTTTTATCCATGACATCAAGAATAATTTTGAAAAATCAATACAAAATTATCTTTCTCTTAAATTTTCTAAAAGTCAAAACGAGAACATCTTTATGACACAAAGGGAGTATTATACTCCCTCCGTCCAGGAATATTCTTCCCGTGTTGACTTGGCACGCTTATTAAGGAATCATAAAAAAATACCAAATTTTCAAAAATGCACATACTATAAACTTTTAAATCTCATTTTCTTATTAAAAAAGCAATAAAAAAGTAGATTAGTGATAAAATAGAAGGGTATTATTGAAATTTATCCTTAAAAAGTATACTAAAAAAGGAAACGAGAAGAATATTTCCGAACTGGCCAAAAAGGAAAGTGCGAAGAATATTTCCGGACGGAGGGAGTATTACATTTTCATTCTTCTATTTTCTTTTAAATTATTTGAAGTGTTCAATCTTCTCTCTTCCTCAACGGAATATTATTTGAAGCGTTCTTGTTTTTCCAGTTTCTTTTAGTTTTTTTTAATTTCTTTCAGTTTCTTCCAATTTTTTAACTATTCCCATTTTGTTAAATCTTTTTTACTCTCAAATAATGACTCTAAAAATAATACTCCCTTGGTCCAAAAACGTTCTTCCTTTTCTATTTACGAGATTTGATCAGTTCTATTTTCAATTCAATTTATTTGATTGTAGTTGAAAAATTAAGAATAAAATTTTTTCTGTAAAAAGTACATTCAAAGTTCTACAAAACAAGAGGTTAAAATTATATTATTTTATTAAATAACTTACAAAAATAGGTAAGATTAAAGTTTGATTGTATCAACAGTAACTGGGAAGAATATTTTATTACTGAGGGAGCATGTCTTTCATGTATTACTATTATTATTATTATTATTATTATTATTATTATTATTATTATTATTATTATTATTATTATAACTATAGTCTATAAATTACTTCTATTTTTATTTTTTTCCACATCACTATTTTGTGATTCACACTCATTACTATTTTTTCTCCATTTTTCATTTAAATAATAAGGGTACAATTTTATTGGAATTTTTTAAAAATTTACATGACCGTTTGAGTAGCTATAGCTTAGGGTTCAAATAGATTATTGGAGGCGGGACAATTTAAAAGGCCAACGGCACTCCAGTAGTTTACGGGTCACATTGAAGAAGAAGAAGAAAACTGGAAGACAATGGTGGAGAGCCATAAAAGAGGAAGAGAAGGCCCGACGATAGGAATCGATCTGTGATAAGGATGTTGTGCTTATGGATGTTGCTCCTTTGTCTCTAGGTATTGAGTTGTCTGGTGGTGCAATGTCTGTTGTGATTCCAAGGAATACCCCCATCCCTACAAAGATGACAAGGCACACTTACGCAACTGTTGTTGACCTTCAAACCATTGTCGGCATCTATGTGTTTGAGGGAGAGATGCCAATAGCAAAAGACAACAACTTCCTAGGCAAATTCTTCTTGGGCAAATTTTCCCACCACAACATTCCTCCAGCACCCAATGGCGGTGCTAAGGTTGATGTTGATTTCAACATCGATGCCAATGGCATATTGACAGTGTGTGCAGAACTAGTCGGCAGTAACAACAGGAATCAGATGACTATAACCAATCACAGCGCTAGGTTGTCAAAGACAGAGATTGATCGGATGGTGAAGGAGGCCGAGGATTACAAGGCTCAAGACGAGAAGCGCAAGAAGACAGCTGTGGCCAAAAACGCTTTAGAGAGTTACATTTACCACATGAGGGAAAATATGGTTGGGATGAAGGACAAGATGATAGCTTTGAGAGATGCAATTGAGAAGACATGCAAATGGTTGGATTGGAATAACGTTCTCGATGATGCTCGAAAGCTTGAGGAGAAGAGGAAAGAGCTAGAGGTCATATGTGAGTCTGTCAAAACCTCTGTTAAGCCTGAGATTATTGAAGAGGAGGAGAAAGAGATCAAGGTCATATTTGAGGCTGACAAAACATGTGTAAAGTTTGAGATTACTTGAACGAACCCAAAATAACCTACTAAAAATAGATCAAACTTGATCGAACTTGAAATCTAACTTGACCGACCCATTAACATTAGAGTTTTTTGAAGTCATGTATTTTTTTTACAGAGTTCGAAATCATATACTCTAATATGAAAAAGAATGTAATAAAAATAAAGTTATGTTTATTTTTAATTATGTAGTATTACTCATTGTGTATAAACTTATAATTTCAAAATTTTTAAAGTTACCACATAGTTATCTTATACTCATTGGAGTATTATTCTTTTCAAAAGTGACACATTAAATTTTTTATATTATTCATAATATTGTAAAATATATCTAAAAGGAAATTAAAAATTTAAAATAATTTATTCTAAGAGGTTTAATAAATGTATTTCAGTATTTATTATTATTTTAGTACAAAATACAAGAACTAGTATGAATTTAAATATTCTTTAAAAAAACCTCATAACATGATGAGTCAATCCAAACGTGATGACACTAGATCATGAACATGTAGTTATAAAACTAAACCCAAACTTACCCAAATCCGATGTAACACAAGCCAAAAATGACCAAACTCGAATCCGACACCAATTTGCTACCTCTAGACCCAAGTGAGATGATGTTTTGTGATCAGATAACACTTTATGATGAGATGGCACTAATATTCACTAATCACCATTGAAGATGTATCACCTGTAAAGTTAACTAACAAATGCTAATCATGTAAATACAACACTTTTTATAGCTTCCAAATTTGATTTTTTTCAATAAAAACAACTTTGGGTGTGTTTTCACAATCTCACTTGATCAACCTTGGAAATCACACTTTACAACATCCCTTGTGTTTTGGCCAAAAAGAGAACCACTCACTCTCTTCTCTACCCCTCACCTAAGTAACATGTGGATTTACCAAGTATGAAAGGAATTGGGAGAACAAGACCAGATGAAGAAAAAAATGTAAAGCATGACCTTCAATCTACGCATGTTCTTATAATAACTTGTAGCACAGACATGGCCATTAGTATACAAACCATATATTACATTGGGAGTGACAATGGAATCAATTATTCAAGTGTGGCCAACTTATCTTCATCAAAGGCCTTCCTTGCTTGTTTTAGCTCCTCGTTCAATGTCAGCAACTCTTTGCACCGGTTAAGTTTTGGCAAGTCCTGCACAACAGCATCATTAGGCCAAACCGCTCACACTTGTCCAATATTCATTTTCAAGCTCAATTCTCAGAATAATTTTTTTTGAATGCCAAAATAGGTTATGGAAATGCAGCCTACCTTCAAGAGGTTGTACTCAAAACACTGGGAAGTAGGAAGACAAGGTATCAAGAGCATATATTTAAGGCAAAATCATAACCCCACATTTGAGAGTTTGAGCGATCAGATAAAAAAAATCCTAGAATGTACTTGTAACATAAACATTCCCAAGTTGTAATATGGTTCACGTCAATAGTCTCAACTGTAACTCTGTTATAACTCCGTTTATTTCCGTTAGATGTCATTATATGCATCCAAAAATAAAAGAAAATAATATTTAACCAAAAATTTGGACTCGGATATCAAATTTGAGTAGTTCAAGTGTCGTTAGAGAATTTATTTACAAAAAGATATAAAGTTGTGTGATTTTGGTTCATGAGAAATAATTTGGAGCACAAAAAGCATTCCTAAAAGGTAATGCGAAGAATATCTAGCTCAATCCAAAAAGGAAAGTTAAAAACTTAGGACACATGAAAGTAAAACTATTACTTCAAAAATTCCATGTGAATACTACTAGAAATTTTTTATTTATAAAAAATAGTACGTGAATTGCAAAATTTAGTCATTCCAAAAATGCTACTCTATGTCCCATTGTACATTCAATTTCCGGGGGAAGCGCGACGAGACACAATTGTTTTAAAGTGCCACTTTTTAGTTATTAAAATACTACAAAAATGGGCTTTACGTTATTTTTCTTTAGTGTAACAAGTTTATAGAGTAAATCAAATAGCAAGAGGAATAGATGACATACCTTTCGGACTAAAAACAGAAAATCTTCTGTCAAACGCCTCCCTCTTTTGGTTGCAAGATCTTGAGCTTTGTGTACCTAAAGATATTTAAACAATTATGTTTACAATCAACAAATGCAACTTATTCAAAAAAAACTTTCAGATAATTAAGGCCAACTAAAACTCTAACTCATCTTCAATATGGGCTGCTATACAATACACCGAAATCAGAAGATTTATGATTCCAGATGAAAACAGCCGGTTGAGAAAAGTTTTTACTCACCATATCTGTGACATATTCCACAACAATGTCCTCTACAAGTGCCAAAGTCTCTGGAAATGGCTGAAATGAATATGCATAAATAAATAAATAAATAAGACAGGCTAAACCAAAGATCCGTTGCAGAAAAGTGAGTTTATGGGATGTGATAGTTACATGATCAAATAAACAAACAATCTTAAGGGGATTCCCCATTTTATTGAATGCCTTAAAAGTTTGATATGAAACTGTTCTAAAGTTGCGATTTTGCCAAAAAGAATTCCACTGAGCATATTTACATAAGGAAACTGAATGGTGGAGAAAGAAATGCATACATTGGGATCATCTCCAAACCCATACATCATACGCTGCACTGAACACCAGCATAAAAGAAACAGGTAACTTTTGTATGATGGGTAATTTAAGTATTCAGATAGAGTTGCTTTCAATGGAAAAAGGGTAACTTACAATCCTTTTGAAACATTCCACGTTTACGTTTCAACGAGGTTTCTGATGGTTGGGATGCTCCAACTTTTTCTTTTGATGAGGGCCCTGCTGCAGAATTGCTCATATCTATCTCTACCAGCTACCAAACTCAATAACAAATGAGATGATATCCTCAACTGCAAATATAAGCAAAGGTTGCTTAAAAATGAAATAGTGTAACCCCAGGACTTTTAGCCAAGCCGATCACCGAGAGTCAAAGTTGGTAACTCTTGTGTTTATGCTCAAGCTTCAATCTGTTTGGAATACACCAGTTGAATAAATCGTTACGAAATATTGTGGTAAATGGTAATCAGTTCATTACAACCATATATCATGCTTCAAGCTATTAGGAATACACTGGAATCAAACCAATTTATAACTTCCAGATTCAATTGTTACAAAACAGTGAGGTAATCAGTTCATTACAACCAAATATCCAAGTAAGAATCACTATACCTAATCAAACAAATATAAGCTGCTACAGATCAGACCAAATCGAATAAGCAGAATTTTGATAAAGTGTTTCAAATCAGCATAAACGACCGATATCCTGCTTATACAATCATATCTCGCTCGTGGAAGTAGCTAACAAGTCAAAATAAACTATGCAAATACATACGTATGCAGTGGCGGATCCATCGCTGGGGGCATTAAGTAAATTATAGTGGAAAAAAATAAAATTTAAAAACAAGAGAAAATTAAATAGATAGAACATACTGCTCGGTGCTCCTGTTCGGTGCTCGACTGCTCGGACGGCGACGCGGCGGACAGGCGACGGCGGTGCTCGACTGCTCGCTGCTCTTGTTCGGCGTTTCACTTGCTCGGCCTGCTCCGCTTCTCGGTTTCCGAAAAAGCCAAAGGGAAGGGGAAGCTTAAAGGATAATTCTAAGGGAGTATATTTAATTTTTGAGAATTTGGACAATTGGGCCACTTTTGGATTGGGTTTTTAGCATTGAGATAATTAATTGGTTTGGGCCAATTAATGGACTGGGGCAGATTTTTTTTGGGGGCAATTATATATAAAAATTTAAAATATACATACATACATACATACATACATACATACATACATACATACATATATATATATATATATATATATATATATATATATATATATAATACACACACACACACATATATAAATTCACTGGGGGCAGCTGCCCCCATATCCTATAGGGTAGATCCGCCCCTGTACGTATGACTGTGAAGCATGGACACCGAAAATGCCAAACCTCGGGAGGAATCTAGCACTACACGCTGCTTGTCGTTGACCGAAAAACGGCTGGATACGGCGGACAAATGATCCGGCTTCGGAGGCGTTGGCTGTCAGAAAAGATAAACAGCTAATATAGCTGAGCAGATGGGTATCTAGAACGATAAAACGAAAAATGAGATTTGGGCTTTGAATAATTGATTTTAAAAATGTTATGTTGGGAATACTTGGGATGCAAAAAAAAAACATTGCCATATTGGTTGTAAAGATGAATTGAATTAAAATAAACAAGTTCAACCTAATTTATTGGTATGAGACTTTTTGAAAGGTTCTCAAAAATAAATTTGCAAGGAGTTTGGACAATATCATATTAGAGTTGGGGTAAGAATACATGTCTTTCTAACTTCTAACATATGTTATTAGAGGGACGGAGCCCTTGATTTAAGAGGACGTTTATTGGAATGTATATTATTTTTTGAAACCACTCTAAAAATAAACCAATAAAAATTTGACTTAAATTAGACAATTTTATAAGAAGTAGTACTAATATGAAGTTGGAGTGGGAGGACATGTGTGACCCCAACACAAACTTTTATCAAAAGAAAATTCAAAATGCTAAAGATTCCAAGCTGTTATAGTTTGCGCTTTCATTAAACCTATCTAAATTGATTATTGGTTTAATATATGAAGTAATTGAACTTGTAATTTTTGTCCGACTTGAAAACAATAGATTAATTGATGATTATTACAAATTCATACAATAGTGTAATGTGTAACGAAAATGCTTTTGTACAAAGAATATGTTGTTTCCCGACTCCGGAGTAAGAAATACTCCATGTTCTACAAATGTTTATGCATTTTCTTTTTTCATTCGTCCTAAAATAATTTTCATATTTTTCTTTACCTTTTTAGTTTTAAAATCCAAAATACTTCCCTTTAAAATAAATTACAAACATTCATTTTTGAATGTTCAATATCTTTCAATGGTCTTCTTAATCATCCTAAAGCCAAAATGAACAAATCAATTTGGAAAGAAGAGAGTAATAGATGAAATTATATAATAAAAAAATTAAAACTTGACCTATGAAAAATAAGGTTAAAAATTCAAAGAAACATTTGAAACAAGTTGCATATAGAATAACATTTGAAACACATAACAGTAGCACCAAAACTATCAAATCCCAGTATACATTTGAAAGAGAAAACAAAAATAGGTGGCACCTACTGCAAACACAAAGAGTCAAAATTTAAAGAACAATCTCACTCAGAGGCCAGTGCCCCCAGCAAATACTTTAATCCTCCTCCATGGGAACTTCAGGGATATCGAACCTATCTTCATCAATCGTTTTATTCATAACACAAACGGGAGTGGATATCGGCATGGGATCCGCTTCCTTTTCCCCGCGACTTCTGCTCTTATTCAACTCCTGCAGTATTTCAGGAGTAATTAAGTGATGCCTTTGTTTTTCCACCAGTCTGATGATACTAGATTTATCTTCTTTCAGTAAATCAGCTTTGTATCTTCGCACAAAGCAGAGAAGGGACAAGTGCCAGATCACAGGCATAACCTTTGGCTCTTCATAGGATCTCCAGAAATGGGCAACCATGGCATCGAGGACACGGTATGGCAAAGCATATTTCTTTTCGATCAGTATCTGTATGAAGAAACTTGTTGTGCCACAGTATTCCATTTCGGCAAGCTTCAGCAGTGAAACACTAGCATGAAGGGCTGGAAAAGATGACTTCTGAAGAACCCCTTTGAAAATTTTAGCCTCCTGTGTAGTGCAAGTTCGTGACTCACACAACGGGAACAAGATTCCTTTATTGAAGGCAGCTGGTTTAAAAAGAGCTTTCTTCAAAGATTGATGTAGGGAAAAATGCAGCTTCTTGTTTTTCTTAATATCTGCCCTGACACGTGGAAGCAATACAAACTTGTAAAAGCGCTCTACCTTTGACGTACCCATAGCTGAAGCAAAAAGTCGTGTGGCTTGGTACATAGCATTTGGTGACCATTTATCCGGTTCAGTCAGATACAAGACATCCTCCCAATTCCTCATTGCAGGTATGTGTTTAAAAGCTTTTGGAATTTTCCCTGATGTGTATTTGCTAAGAGATTGGCCAACTTCTTTGTACAAATTAATAATGGACACATCTAAATTGGGCATCACTTGCAGATCTGTAGAAGCTTGGGCATCCTTTTCTTTTAGCCTCTCTATGACAATGTCGGCCAAAGTCCTCTGGGGACGATCATCTGTTGATAAAAAAGCTGCCAATAACCTTTCCTCTTCTTCATCAACCTTATCCTCTACGTCAACATATTCATTGGTTTCAGAAAACCCTGTAAAGTTGTCTAAATCATCATTATCATCGTTGTCATCATTCTCCTCCTCCTCAACCTCAGGTAAAAGATCTTTTTTAAAAACTAAGCCGCCATGGTTCTGCTGTTGAGCCTCTTCCTCTTCAACTTCTTTCTGCTGAATTAAAGCCTCCTTCAGTATCTTGGAGCTCATACCAGAAGATAATACCTTCTGTTGTTCCTGGTGGGATTTCGGAGCTTTAGAGCGTTTGCGGGAAGAGGCTTTTGAACTCTCATCTGCTCCAGCAAGAAATGGCTCCGGATTTGTCACTCTATCTCGCTTCTTTGCCATGGCTATTAAAAAAACAAAGCAAACAGTTACTCGTAATACAGAGGGGGATAGAAGATCTGTAGGGTAAGTATTTTACCACTAGTGTTGCATCTAACATATCACAGTATTTATCCTACTAATACAGAGTACTCTATATTGAAGAAATTGGGATTTTTGAATTTTCCTTTGAAAGCTTCAAAAGTATGGAATAAAAATCTTGCAGTTGGTCCACTAAAGCCAACACACATGCGCATAAACGTCTTCCAATTAAGCCATTCGCATAGAATGCTAAATAAATCAAACCTTTAGCATTAATCTTATTTTTTAGGCTCAAGATTTAATAGTAAAAAATATATCTATTTGCGGAGTCTAAGCTGTATGAAAAACCAGCCTTCAAAAATAAACCTATTTCTTAATAAAATCAATTTCATTGAGCTCCAGCGTTGGGATTGGTATGATTATTTGTGAATTAGACTCATTTTGTTTATATGCAAAAGCAATATGAGTTAAAATGTCATTTGATGATGCAAAAGTGGAAAAGCCAACAGAGGATATAATAATACTCTTGAAGCCAAACTCTTGTAGGGATCAACCGGCTTGTTTGAAGCCAAACAAGAAAAGAAAAACAGATTAATGCATCGGCATTAATAGATCAAAAAACCCATAAATGATGCAGACTTAAAAATTTATTGGAAGATCAAAAACAAGATTTGTAGCTAATATAAAAAACTTTGTATGTAGCACTTTGGATAATTGAAACAAGACTGGCCATTACTGATGACAACAGGCCGAGTTCAGTTTGGATTTCAGTATATCCGAATCCGACCCAACACTGTATATGATCAAACATTTTAGCTTGAACTCTAAACGTTGGGCTTTAGATTCGACCTGAACCCGACAGACCCGACAATACAAATTTTCTCGGTTAGAAACCAGTGTTTGTTTCATCATAAACTCAAATTCCTGTCCTTTTTTCTAGTGCAGTAACATCTAACAAACATAAACCAAATTGACACGTACGGAGTAATAATATTGTCTGAGATCTGCGCAAAAAGAAACATACCTTTTCTGGGGATGATGCTCGCGGACTGACCGGATGCGGCGGAGAAATGAGCTAGAACGGCGAGGGCGGACGGGAAGCGGCGCCTCGCTGTTTCAGGTCGGTTCGAATAATGCACAACCCTAAGGAGAGTAAAGCGCAGTACACCGGATGTTTTTCACGGATTTTACATGTTGGGCTTAATGTGTTATGGGCTAATAATGATACCCAATCATATTCTTTTCACATGATGTGAATATTTTTTACTCCCTCCGTTTCTAAATATTTGTCACACTTGTATTCCCGAGGTAAAATATTAAACTTTTTTAATTCATTTTATTTACAAATTGGTATATAAATAAAAAATAAAATTTACATATCAAAAAACTACATAAAATATTCCTCGAAATAAGAGGTGTTAAGAATATTTTATTTTATCAAATAACCAATAAAAACGTAAAAATAAACAAAAGTTCTCGCGACTGCTGAAAAAGCAAATGTTGCAAATATTTAGGGACGGAGGTAGTATCTCATTAGAATATGTTTTGATTTGATCTGAATTTAGTAAAGATTCTAATAAGAAAAAAATAATACTCCCTCTGTCCCAAAATAGATTACAATATTCCCTCACATTTTTGCCCCAAAAAGGATTACAAAGTCAATAACTTTATAGTGATTTGACTCTTTTACCCTCCTCTTTTCTTTTCTGCAAGCCACTATTCACACTATTTGGGGGGATTTGGGTGGTAATTTGGGGGGAAAAATTTGATTTGACTCTTCCTTAATTTTAACTAAAAGAGAATATTGTAATCTAAAGTAGGACGGAGGGAGTAGGTAATAAGAATAAATTAAAAAGAACATGACCTCACTCTCCAAATTAGGGGTGGGCAAGTGACGAACCAATTCTGAAATTTCCCCCAAAAAATCGATATTAGCAAACTGATAAAATACCAAAAACGAACCGTATCCTACCGAGCTTAATGGTCAGTCCAATATTCGAGATCGGTACGAGGTGACTTCCCATACCGAAAAATCCCGAACCGAACATATATATAAATATGTTATAAAAATAATTTTTTTTATATTTCTTCTTTAAAAAATAATTTGATTTTGAAAAATTGGTTCAAGTGTGGGTGAATTACAAATAATCTTTTATTTAAATAATCATTTATTTGAATTTTAAATTTTTGTAGATGAATTTAACAAAAGTTAACAAACATTTGTAATACTATTTTATTGTCATTCGTTCTCTTTTGTTTGTGAAATACAAAGTAAAAATTAAACTAGATTTTATAAGTATTTCTTGCATTTAACTATTCATTTTTAATTTTTAATTTTTCTTTATTTGAATGTGCTTTCCATTTTTTCAAGAAAACATTTCAAAGTGTAAACTAAGTACGTATATATATATTAATCATAGTATTTACCGAAACCAAAATTGGATCCTCCTGAATCACACTGAATCGATACTTTGAGATAGGGATCGGTACCATGTAAAATATCATGTCGAACTGAAATATTTGGTACGGAATTGGTACGAACCAAATACTGTACCGTACCACGTTCACCCCTACTCCAAATGAGGACATTCCATATTTTTCAAATAAGGATATTTGGACAATAGCTTGCAAAAATTGACTTGACTTGTTTTTATCTGAGAAATGATCTAAAAATATTGATTTTCAAACAATAGTTTTGTTAACCAAACCCAAAACGACTTGCTAAAAATGTGCCAAACTTACCTGAACTCAACCTTCTAATGTAAGAGGTTTTTAAAAACCATGTATTTTAATATTAAAAAATGTAATATATATAATGTTATGTTTTTATATAACTCATAATATTGTTAGGTTTTGGACTTTACTAATTACTCCAAACTTCTATTATATATTAATAAATTATAATAAGATTTTGAATATTCTAAACATGTTAAATTCAATGAAGTCATTTTTTTTATTAATATACATTATTATTTTAACTTAATTGAGGTTCAAAGTTCGTATAAAACTATCTTTGACAATTTATGAATATCACAAATGACTAATTTATAATTTAATTCATTTTATTTTCATAAAAAAATATTTAACTTATTAATATCTTATAAGTTAATAACTATTTATCAGCAATAAATCAATAATGATAATACAAAGAAAAGCCGTGTTTGGTTAACGATTTGTTCAAGAAAAAATTGACTTTTTAATCCCAAGAGGTGTTTTGTCACTATAATTACATGTTTGAAAAATGGCATGTGGCTGATTGGCTCCAAAAGCCAATGGCTCGGTGGAGTGATTAGTTTGGGTCGAGACTTGGCGAGANGGGGGGGGGTAGAGGGGCTAGGAATCATCAATTTTATGAACGGAGTTCCGTAGGTGGGCAGTGGCTTCCGTGGCCACTGAAATCCAGTGGACATGGAACCGAGCTGATGATGAAAAGGCTAACATGTGTAACGTTTAAGAGAGATGCTAGGTGATGGGTATATCCTTATACCCGACCCGGACAACCGAAAGGGACAGGTCGATATATGACCGGTCACTTTTATCAATCACCAAATGAGGTTAACTCTTCGATTGGGACGGGTCAAAAGTTGACCGGTCACTTCTTCTAAAAAAGTGACCGGTCACATTTTGGGCGATAGCCAAAATGTCGCCTAATGTTACAAAGGACATTCTAGAAGACCAGAGACGGGTTGAGCGCAAAGAATGACCGGGTAACCAATGAGAGAAGGTGACCGGTCATGTCACTTTACTTTGCAAACATTGGTCCAGTATCTCAGGCATGGTGAACCACGTCAAAGATCGAGGGACCACCCCGTCGTTCGTCCATCACGAGGCAAACAGTGAAATGAATGTTTGTCACTTTGCAGGGCTGATTGGATTGAGAATATCCATTTATAGTCTTTAATTGAACAGTACATGTCTTGGCTTGTAGTTGCTAAATTCATTGATTGAATAGTAGATTGATTATGTACAGTGACCTTCCCACGGGCTTCCTATTTTGTCCATGGATGAACATGAGAAGGTCACAAATCCTCCTCTATAAATATGATGATATTGGATAGAGGAGGGGTCCAATTTTTCTCTCACTAAAGTTCACTCTTGAGATAGAGTAAGAAATATAATTCCGACTGAGGAGATTTACCCGGTCTAGGTCATACTTTGTGTTCTTGTTGTGTGTTTTATATTGCGGGTCGAGTGTGTCCAGGTCAAACCCGGTCAACCCACCCAGCTATATTTACACCATCACTAGGGGTACATCAAAGATATACCCCAAATGTACATTACATACCTCTTTAAAATTTGTTTTTATTTATTTATTATTTTTTTTGAATTTTTTATTCAAATTTTTATAGTTATGGAGGGGGTGAGAGATATTTGGGGTACACATTTGGTGTACCTTTAGCATTTTTCAACATGTGGTTGTTAAGTTTTTGTCATTCTTTTTTCTTTGTTTGCCCTTCCACTTTTTTATTAAACTTTTTTGATTAAAAATGTCATATATTTTATACTTCCTTGGTCTTTGATACTCCCTCCGTTCTAAAACTTTCTTCCCAGAGCACTACTCCAACTTCACGGGAATTTATATTTATTTGTGTTTTTTCATGGCCTATATGATAAAATAAAATATTCTTGTCACCACTTGTTTTGTTGAACTTTTGATGTAGTTTTTAAATATGTATGTTTTATTTTTTATTTTTATACCAATATTTAAATAAAATAGATTGAAAAAATTTGGGATTTTTCTTCGTTTTGCGCAACGGGAAGAAAGTTTTAGGATGGAGGGAGTATAATTTTACACTTTTTAGATATCTAAAAATCAACTATACACTTCTCTATTTTCTTTTTTAGGAATAAATATGTAGACAACATCGATTTTTTCTCTTTTAAATAAATTTCATCTACATATTTTTAAATTTGTAAACAATCTTCTTGTGTGGTGTGAAATCAAAATTTTATAAAATAAGAAGTGATATGATTTTTATATGTCAAATGATCAATGAAAATACACATAAAAAATTAAAATTTTTGTAGAGTATTTTTATACATTTATAATATTACATTAAAAAAATCTATGAAATAAAAGGAAGTATGCTACGAAGTAGTTATTTGTAAAATACAATTGAAATACTAAAAAATGTAAATGCAAATTCTCATTTCCTAATTTGACGAACAAAAAATGTAGTCAATTTTTTTCCCAAAAAAAATATATGGAATATTTGCTTTATAGTGTGTGTGTTTTATCAAAATTTTAAAAAAATTATACTCCGTACTAATTAAAATCAAACACAAATGGAGACATGTCCTTATATGAAATTTCATCTAGAAACAGCTAATTATAAACAACTAAATTTGCTAAACAATTTTTTCTAAACATCTAACACAAACAGCTGGTCAAAACAGCTAACTCAATCAGCTATTCAAATCAATCAACATAAACAACCAACTCCCACATTCCAAACAAGGCTAAAGACCATCATCTTTTCTTGTTTAATAAGAGAGGAAAAGAAAAAAAGTATGAATACAAAAATGAGAAGAAAATGTAATAAGAAAAACGAAAATGATTTTTCCATCCATTTAATATATAATATATATTTTATTTAATTATAAATCAAAAATTGAAAACGATTAACTAAAAAAATCAAAACTAAACAAATACTCGAGAACAGAATTGGTATAAATTAACGAAAAAGGCAAGTGAGGGAAGAGAATCAAGTGAAGGAAGGGAGCTCAAAATGAAAGATTACTTCCATTTCACTCTTCCCACTTCTTTCTGGCTTACCATTTCACTTCATTCCCACTCCTCAAACAAACACATAATTAAATAATCACTCATATGAGTATTTATAACTAACAAAAAAAAACAGAAAATAATTTATTTGAATGGACTGCCAACATGTACGCCGAATCACTCAAGAAAAACCCAGTGGCTAAGAATATCGAAAAATAGCAAAGGAAAAAGGAATAATTATTAGCTAACTAATTCTAACAGTTTGGTTTGATATATTTGCTTCTCATTTTTTAAAGAAAAATGCTAGGGGTACACCAAAGATGTACCCCATTTGTCCCCCACCCTCTCCATTACCACAAAAATGGGCAAGAAATTATAAAAAATTAAATAAATAAAAATGGGGTTAAAATGAGTGGTAGAGAAAGGGGTGGGGGACAAATGGGGTACACCTTTGGTGTACCCATGGCTCTTTTTTAAAACCCGTCCCGGCCCGTACCATTTGGAAACCTAAATGGTCTGTTTCGGGATATTATTTACCAGAACCATGTGAAAACCATTTCTTTAGCCGGTACCATGTCGGTTTAGTTTGGAATAATTTTGTGCCGGTTTTTTCGTCCAACGCTAGGCTTGAAAACTGGGCGACTGACCTGGGGACGCTCCAGGTTGGGAATAAATGGCCAACTATCAAGTCCACTGCAGCTCTTTCATCTTCCCCGGCCAGAAAGATGTCAACTTTGGGAAGCCCATTATTCTTCAAATGCAAACATTGAGCCGCATTGCATCTGACAAAACGATCAAGTTCTCCTCCATCCTCACGCGATTTCCCCCACTGCTCAAAGTGTGCCTCAACGCCCTCAAGTGGTGAATGTAATACTCCAATGCATTCCTGGCCTCGGCTTCCTTCTTACGCTCCTCAAGTTAGGTTGTCATGAACATTTTGGTAATTGTGCCTGGTCCTCTTTGTAGGGATTGGGGTATTCCTTGAAATCACAACAGACATATCACCACCATGCACCCGAATCCCAAGAGATAATGGAGCAACATCCAAAAGCACGACATCCTTATTCACACCCAAACAGACACCAGCCAGAGATGCCGCATGAAAAGCTGCTCCGTGGGCAACCGCCTCATCAGGGTTTATACTTTTGGAGAGCTTTCCGAGGAAGTGTTCTTGCAACAATTCCTGAACCTTAGGGATTAGGGTAGACCCACCAACCATAACAACATAAGAAATCACCCTACGTAGCACTCTAAGTCACTCAATATTACGCATATAGCACTCCTTAATCTTTTATACGAATTTAGGTATTTATAGTGTCAATATCTTCCAAGCATACCCTCTACCTTTTATTATATTCTACTATTTTTAATTACTTTTAATTATTTGATTAATCTTTGGTTATTCACGTAGCCACTCTTCCTCATATGTGCGGCTCCTCTTCATTCGTGTGTCTCATACGAGAACATCATCCTACGTTATTTACCATTGCTCTGCTAGATCCTATTCCTACGCAGTTTACGAATATTTAACGCCCATGTTTGGCGAGTGTGTTTTGGTGTAATAGATTATTCATGAAATCAATCATATATTTTTAGATAGTGTGGAATTCATACATGAAAACAGTTATACACATTACACATTTTTGGCAGTATGGAATTCATACATGAAAATAGTGTGGAATTCATAAATAAAAAGAGCTATACATTTTTTGGGCAGTGTGGAATTCATACATGAAAATAGTCATACACTTTTTGACAGTGTAGAATTTATACATGAAAACACTACATACCACATAAATCAATGAACATTACACTCCAACATTGAATTAAGGAACACAATAATACACTTACACACTGCCGTAAGATATAATGACATATATCCATTTACACTGCCACATTAAATACTCACATATAAAAAACCACACTGCCCACTACACAGTTGCAAGTGAATAACCACACTGCCCAAAATAATCATATTTTTTGGCAGTGTGTAAAGGACAAAATCGGAATCACATGTACGAAACATATAGCACTGCTATTTAGAGTATTTTAATGCTCCTGAGTGCTATTTTGGTTTTTCTCCATAACAACATCATGAATGTCCCTCTTCTCCATTTTGGCATCCTTTAAACACTTTTCAACTAGCTCCATATATACACCCTTTGAACAGATCCAAATTCATATTCTCAAACCGTGCACGGGTGATGGTCGAAGAGGAATCGATGCCCTCAAAGAGACACTCAATGTCGATGGATGTTTCAGTCGCTGAAGAGAGGTTTCTCTTGGCCCTCTCACAAGCCACTCTCAACCGCCCTAGAGCCCTGGGGTTTCCACTCAAGTCTTTCTTGTGTTTCCTCTCAAACTCAGCTGCAAAGTGGCTCACCATTCTATTATTGAAATCCCCTCCACCTAGATGGGTGTCCCCATTAACAGCTTTGACTTCAAACACATCCTTCTTAATTGTGAGAATAGAGACATCAAAAGTCCCACCACCCAGATCAAAGACCAGTATGTTCTTTGAAGCAGGATCGCCTTTTCCAACTCCCTTTTTGTCGAGACCATAAGCAATTGCAGCAGCTGTGGGCTCATTGATGATACGCAAGACATTGAGCCCGGCAATGACACCAGCATCTTTCGTAGCCTGGCGCTGTGCATCATTGAAGTAAGCAGGAACAGTGATAACAGCATTCTTGACTTTTTTGCCTAGGTAGGCCTCAGCAATACTCTTCATCTTTTGGAGGATCATTGAAGATATCTCTCTTCAGCAGCAAATGTCTTCTCTTCACCCTTGTAAGTCACCACTATCATAGGTTTCTCAGCACTCTTACCGTCAGTGCCAGCTGTGACTTTAAATGGCCAGAGCTTCATGTCATTTTGTACTATTGTGTCGTTAAATTTCCTTCCTATTAGTCGCTTCACGTCTGCCATTCGAATACAGGAATCAATATATGTAAAATTATAATATTCCACCTAAACATTGTCTTCCATAGAAAACATATTCCATCCCCAAATTATAGGGAGTAACTTCATGAGTGAAAAATGCAACGGTTTAATGATGTTCGTCCAGATTCCAAATAGTCAGTATAGAACATTGATTGATGATTTAGTGAAAACCTGTAACATAAAGGAAGGCAATGTTATGCAGCATACAAACCCAAAAGAGAAAGGAGAAAGACAGAAATCAGACCGAAGATGGTATTGGAGGGATTGAATGCGGCCTGGTTCTGAGCAGATTCGCCGATCAATCGATCAGCAGGGGTGAAGGCAACCCAAGACGGCGTAGTGCGATTGCCTAAATAAGAGGTTTTTATCAAATACTTAAAGTCCGTTTGGCATAAGGAATTGGTATAATTGGAATTGAATTAGAATTGGAATTTCATGGGATTCAATTCCATAGAATTGAATTCTGTCAATTTCAATTCATTTTTTGCACTATCAATTCCAAATCTACATAAATTTTGTGCTACCAAACATCAGAATTGGAATTGAAGTCTCCAATTCCAATTCCATAGTTTGAATTCCATGTACCAAACGGGACCTCAATGAAATCGCGTAAACAAACAAAAGTTATCGAGAGGGGAGAGAAAAAAATTGTAATTTATTTAGGAACGAGGGAGTATGTCTTTCTCATTTAAGTTTTTACAATTTCCAAAATTATACTTTGACCATTAATATTTTTATTTATCCATAAATATATTTTATAAAAATTTAATATTTTAAAACTATATTTAAATAAGAATATATATTGACATTAAAATTATAACATAATACAATTTATATTTTCACATATCAAAGTCAAATTTACAAATTTTGATATAAAAAAAGTGAAGTGATATTGACACTCCAAATATTACTATATGCGCTCCAATCTTTATCTTATTTAAACTTTCTTCCTAGAATGCCCTTGCATGTATAATACTTCATTGTTTTTACCTAAGAATATTATATTATCTACTTGTTTAATTATCTAACTTTTATTGATTGTGTGTGTTAACAAAAAATAGCATTTCCATCTTAAATTAATTTATTCTCTTATTTTACGGATATTAAAAAACACTGAAAAAATGTATAAAAAAGATTGAATAGCAAAAGAGAGTTGTTTAGATTTTATTTTGAAAAATGAGAAAAATGTCACACCACATATTCTTTTGTATAAACAAATTGAAAAAAAATAATCATTTTTGTGACAAACAAAAAAAAGAGAAAACTCTTATGAAATAGTGTATATATAATAAGTAATAACGATATGATCTAAAACCAATTTTAATGACACAAATTTCACTTGTCAATTTTTTTAAAACTTTTTCTTAATCTCATCAAAGTCAACGTGACAAAAGTAACTTTGGAAAATGTAGAATGAAAAGTAATTAGAATTGTAACATTTTTTCAATTGTGGAGTGGTAATATATTTTCCTTCAACATACAATTTATAATCTTTTCATACACATAGGCTCCAAATTAGTTTTTTTTTCACTTTACTTTCAATGATATACATTACAAAAAAAAAATTTTTGAAAAATGTTAAGAGAAATGTAAGTTGTTAGAATTTGGTTAGATGAAAGAATCACTTTAGACTATATAATCCTCACCTTTCTCACTTAAAATACATCCTAAAATAATGCATGCATTTTTCTTTCTCTTTAGAAAATAAAATGTAGTTTAAAATATTTTTCTTTCTTATAAAACATCCAACTACTCATTGTCACTATTCAACAATTTTCAATATATTTTTTAAATCTGTGTAAATTCAAAGAGACTAAATGAACTTGAAACAAATGGCTAATTTCTTTCAAAAAACAATTGAAAAAAATGATAAAAGTATTGAGGGAGAGGAAAACAAAATAAAGAGTTTTTGGATACGGAGATTTTTTGATAAATAATTAATTAAAAAATAAAGTAATACTCCATACATTTTTTCTAAGTATGAAGAATAAAATACTGTGCACAAGGGCATTTTCGAGAGAAAAAAATAAGTGGAGTGCATCCAGTAAATATTGGAGTGCCAATATCAATTGCCTAAAAAAAACTAACTCAAATGTGAAAAACATTTCTAATGAAATTTATACTTTTTATTTCTATACTAATTTGTAATTAAAATAAATTTAAATATGATGAGATTTTACACATTGTTTAGAGCGTGGCATCCAATATGGGACAGAGGAAATACATTTTTTACAAAGTTTTAGAAAACTTTTTTTTATAAGCGTCATCAATTCGTGACCAGCATAAATCTGTAAAATTATCAAATAAATAAATACCATAAAAACTAAGTTTTGTAATTGATTATCTAAATTTAAGGTTTTTTTAAAATGAAGTTATCATATTTACTTTATTAATTATCACGTTCAAAGTCCGTCATTTATGGGTACAAAATATATTTGTTATCGTTTTAACATACGGCTTTACATTTCATTCACTCTCGATGACAATTGAATAACATGTAGTGGAAACAAGGGGCAGTTCCTTCGGTGCATCTTCTAAAGTGGGGGTTTTAAAACCTCATGTAGCGCAATAATAAAGAGATATGTGGACATAATATTATATCTCTTTTAAGAACTTAAATTATTCTTGTTAATTCAATATTGCCCCAATCTAAAATTAATTTATTTTTCTTCTCTTCATCGCCATCATACGTTAACATCATCTCCGTTAATTGTTTTGTGTCTCCATCTCCATCCAACCTTGCATCGTATTTCCCAGAGGACCATCTCCATCGTCGCCGCCTTCGTTCAGAGTCGTTATCTCCATCCAGCGCCATCGACGGATTCGGCCCTTCAAATTTAACCATAGATCAGCTCAATCACTTGCTTTATTTCTCTCAGGTTTTCTTCTATCAATTTTTTCATTGATTAAATGTCATTCTTGTGAGACGTACGAATATTATATTCTAAAATCTCGTTTTCTTGTTCCAAATATGTCTATTTCTCATTTTTAGTTTGATTTCCATCATTTTTATTCTTTTAAAGATTAGTCTAACTTTGGATATAAATAAAAAACTAGATATAAAGAATAACAAAAATGAGAAAAATAACTAAAATCTTATATTTAATATTTTTATACTTATTTTTTATATTTTATATTTTATACTTATTTTTTACTAGTATAAGATAAGAATAACATTTAAAAAAGGAAAAAGAAACTTATGTAGAAAGCTTTTTTAAAAACTTAAATAGATATTTAAATAAATAAAAAACAAAAATTCACTAAAAATAATCCCAATTTTCATTTTGTTGCATCTTTTTAAAGATTAGTCTAACTTTTGATATAAACATATATATATATATATATATATATATATATATATATATATATATATATATATATATATATAATAACAAAAATGAGAAAAATAACTGAAATCTTATATTTAATATTTTTATACTTATTATTTATATTTGATATTTTATACTTATATTTTATTTTTTATAAGATAAGAATAATATTTTTTAAAAGGAAAAAGAAATTTATGTAGAAAGTTTTTTTAAAACTTAAATAAACATTTAAATAAATAAAAAACAAAAATTCACTAAAAATAATTCCAACTTTCATTTTGTTGTAGAAAACAGGCGGTTCCGTTAACCCGTTGTTAACAAAATAATAATTCATGGTGTAAATCAAACTAAAAATGAGAAATAGACATATTTGGAGCAAAAAAACGAGATTCCAGAACATAATACTCATACGTCTCACAAGGATTACATTTAATCATGGAAAAAATTGATAAAAGGAAACCTGAGAGAAATAAAACAAGAGATTGAGCCAATCTAGGGTTGAATTTGAAGGTCCGAATCCGTCCATGACGTTGGATGGAGATAACGACTCTAAACGAAGACGGAATCGATGGAGACAGTCCTCTGGAAAATACGATGCTGGGTTGGATGGAGATGAAGACGCAAAACAAATAATGGAGATGACGTTAACGTATGATGGCGCTGAAGGGAAGAAAAATAAATTAATTTTGGATTGAGACCAATATTGAATTAACAAGAATAATTTGAGTTTTTAAAAGATGTCAAATATTATTTTCACATGTCTCTTTCTTATTGCGCCACATGAGAGGTTTTAAAACCCCCACTCCGGAAGAGGCACCTAAGGATTGGCCGAAAGAAGGCCCTACTTTACTTCCATATTCACTTGGAGACTATACAATGATGTTCCAATGTGAAATACATATTCTTCCAAAACTGCACATAAAACTGGCTGGTGCATTTGGGAAGAACATGCATTTTCATATAAAAAATGAAGTTTTTTACTCATTTAAGAAATACCAGAATTGGAGCTTTTTGAAAGAAAAAAACACACACAAGCACACTGCACAGTTGTTTTATTAAGAGAAGAGGCTCTTTTGCCAGCTCAAGGAAGAAGAACTAGACTAACATTAACATACTCAAAACATGACAGAGTAGATTGGTTGTAGAAAGAAACTTAACAAAAAACATAAACCAAAGTGCCCGAACAAAAACACAGTAAAAAACCCGGCATACTTTTGCTTCAAAGCAATCAAACTATCAAAGACAGACAAAGTTTTACAATTCATCAGCCAACTAAAGCCTTACCAAAAGCCAAAGTTTAGTAATTTCCGAAATCTCCCTATCAAAGTTGCCCCAGGCTTGACAACTGTGGGACTGACTGGCGGGCACTGAAGCTTTGTAATGACAGGCTCACATATCATCTCCAGCTCTTTCATCTTCGCCTCAAAGAAGTGAGCTTCACCAAGCAGGAAGTTCCAATCTAACCATTTATATGCATTCTCAATTGCAATTTTCAATTGTATGACGTCCTCCTCCATCCCTATCCTAGTCCCACAGCCTCTCAAAGTGCCTCTCAGGTAGTGAATGTAATTCTCCAAAGCATTTTTAGCTGCAGATGCTTTCTTGCGCTGCTCATCTTGAGCCTTGTACTCCTCTGCCTCCTTCACCATCCGATCAATCTCCTCCTTTGTCAGCCTTGTGCTGTGACTGGTTATAGTGATTTGGTCCCTATTGTCACTACCCACAAGTACTGCAGACACAGTTAAGATGCCATTGGCATCAATTTCAAAATCAACATCAAACATAGCATCACCTTTGGGTGCTGGAGGAATGTCATGGAGGTAAAATTTGCCCAAGAAATAGTTGTCTTTTGTCATAGGCATTTCCCCCTCAAACACTTTGAACGGAGCACCTGTTTGGTTGTCGATAGCAGTAACATACTTATCTGTCATCTTTGTAGGGATGGGGGTATTCCTTGGAATCACAACAGACATTTCACTGCCACGCACCTCAATGCCAAGAGATAAAGGAGCAACATCAACAAGCACAATATCCTTATTCACACCTAAACATGCACCAGTAAGGATGGCAGCATGAAAAGCAGCTCCATGGGCCACAGCCTCATCCGGGTTTATACTTTTGCAGAGAATCTTTGTATTTAGTAGGTCTTGTAACAATTCCTGAATTTTGGGGATCCGAGTAGAGCCTCCAACCAGAACAATATCATGAAGGTCACTCTTCTCCATGTTGGCATCCTTAAAACATTTTTCAACTGGTTCCATGCAATCTTTGAACAGATCCAAATTCAATTTATCAAATCGTGCACGGGTGATGCCCGAAGAGAAATCAATTCCCTCAAAGAGACAATCAATGTTGATAGAAGTTTCAGTAGCTGAAGAGAGGACTCTCTTAGCCCTTTCACAAGCGGCTCTGAGCCGCCCAAGAGCCCTTGGATCGCCACTCATGTCTTTTTTGTGTTTCCTCTCAAACTCAGCTACAAAGTGGCTCACCATTCTGTTATTGAAATCTCCTCCGCCAAGGTGAGTGTCCCCATTAACAGCTTTGACTTCAAACAAATCCTTCTCCATTTTGACAATAGACACATCAAAAGTCCCACCACCAAGATCAAAAACTAGTATGTTCTTTAAAACAGAATCACTTCTAGAGCCCTTCTTGTCAAGACCATAGGCAATTGCAGCAGCTGTGGGCTCATTGATAATACGCAAGACATTAATCCCAGCAATGAGACCAGCATCTTTTGTAGCTTGACGCTGTGCATCACTGAAGTAGGCAGGAACAGTAATGACAGCATTCTTGACTTGTTTTCCTAGATAGGCCTCTGCAATACTCTTCATCTTTTGGAGGATCATTGAAGATATCTCTTCAGCAGCAAATGTCTTCTCTTCACCATTGTAAGTCACTACTATCATAGGTTTCTCAGCATTGCCTTCGCCAGGGCCAGCTGTGACTTTAAATGGCCACAGCTTCATGTCATTTTGTACTATTATATCATTAAATTGCCTTCCTATAAGCCTTTTCACATCTGTCTTCATAAAAAACATTCAATTAATTAGAACTAACAAGAAACCTAGAATTAATCTTCAAGCCAAAACCTATTACAGTAAAAAAAAATAAGAGTGTTGGGTAGATTGGCATAATCTAAATAAACAACGAAAGGAATGTAAAACGAAACCCCGAGATAGTGATTAGTGGGCATTGATCTGAGACAGTGAGACTGACGTTTATACACAGTTGTGAAATAAAGGAATGCAATGATGAACCATTTTACCAACACTGTGTTCCTTTATCATATACAGTGATGATATTTGAGCCATGCAAACTAGCCAGTCCTAAAAAATGTTATAGAAATACAGGCAGTTGTTAATTTTTATTGATCCTGTTATTCTCCTAACCAACTTAGCATTCAAAAGGTTAATTACATCCACGTGATTAGACAGGAACTAACAGAGGAAAACAGTGTACCTTTCAGGTTAGCTCCATCCACATGTTTATGTTAACATACGAAATGTTCAAAGAACAGTCAGTTCTTATACTCTTTCAGAGTAGAAGTAAAAGCAGAAAGTTGAATTACTCAAAATGAGTTCCAGAATCAAAGCCAAATTATGCAATGAGACCCGCATAAAGTTTGTTCTCAGAGCATTGACAATAGCAAGGCAAAAATGAAATGTCACACGTTGACATGGATTATTTCAACCAATAAAAAGTAACCCAGTCACCGTGTGGCAAATGAATGGAGTGTCGTAACATACAGTGGCAAGTCGTTGTTTTTGTCTATTTTTGCACTTTTTAATGATTTTTAATTATAAAAAAATATTTTAAAAATATATTTTATTATTAAAATATGTTTACTTCTTTTAAAAAATATTTTTTTCAAAAATTACAAATACTAAAAATATTTATAAAAATAAAAAATGAGAGAGTATGTCATGCACATGGAATGGAAAGTGGGGTGGAATGGTCATGAAATGTCATGATTTGAGTGGAATTTGCTGACATGGCATGGCAAGGCAAGGCATTGCCTTGCCATTGTGAATGCTCTCAGAGAAACAGGCCTAATCATGTTCGTTTTGGGGGAAGAGTAATAAATACGGAGCAGAGGAGAGGAAAGACATGTACGTAGCGAAGATGGTATTGGCGGGATTGGTTGCAGCCTGGTTCTGAGCAGATTCGCCGATGAGACGCTCCACATCGGTGAAGGCAACCCATGACGGCGTCGTACGGTTGCCCAAATCGTTGGTGATGATCTCAACCCGTTGGTGATGCGGCTGCCAAACTCCCACACAGGAGTAAGTGGTTCCCAGATCTATTCCTATCGCCGGCCCTTCTTCTTCTGCTGCTGCTCTTCTTCCATCGTCATTATCGCTCATTTTCTTCGACTTCAGTTATACTAATTGATAAACCTATACATCAATTTGTGGCCTCTTATATTAATAAACCCCTCTTCGGCCTGCTAGCTGCAAGTTATCCGCCAAATTGTGTGCAGATAGGTTAAAAAAATTGACACTGAATACGAGATGTCTGTACAGGAGAAGAAGAAGAGTCGTCTGCCTCCTTTGGGGATTGGGGGGAAAGCTGCATCGTTCGGCGGGAAGCGTTAAATTCACCTCAGGGCGATTGAGTTTCTCCATACCACACTATTGAATTGCCAAATGCCAATCTTCAGCCCTATCAGTATTCATTCAAATGAAAACACAAGGATTCAACGGTCTCATTTTAATTTCCGAAGCTTTTTCGCGTCTTTATTTTTGGTATCCAAATAAATTAATACTCTGTACCTCCCTCCAACCTTAAAAAAAAACCCCTCCCATCATATACTATCAATTTTGAATTTATTAATATTAAATTTATATTTCAATTGGATTTAATGAATTACATACAAAAAGACAAATAAGAAAATTAATGAACTAATTCTGTTAATGAACTAATTTTGTGTTTATTATTATACTTATAAGTTTTTTTTAAAGCCGTCCATTATGGTACATCTCCCTCGCCCGTAATCAGCCCCTCTTCCCATGTCATATCAGGCATGAAGAGGCGTTGATCCTTTTTGCTTGTGATAGTCATCATGTCGTGGTAAATTTCTCTCTCTCAATTTATTTTTTATTTTTTTCAACCAATAAAAATAATCCACAACTTCACCTCATCATTTTTCGATCGTCGTTCTTTCATGTCTCATAACACATACTTCGTATTTTTTTACTTAGACTTAACTACTTACAGGTTCGTACCAAAATGATGTTACCCCTTCGTACCTAATTCATTGCGTCTAGCGAATTATGTACCCGTACTGGATTATAACACGAATTAGGTGTCAGTGTTCAAAACTACTCAAACTTGGTGGTGACGTCTTACTCAAACTACTCAAATAATCACTATCTTTTTTACGGAGTAATAAAAAATACTCCGTGCATTTCATCTGTTATAAAAGAAAATATAATTAAAACTTTTATAATTAATAAAAAGACTTTTTTTATTAAAATAATGGTCATTAGTACACAAAAAGTATTTAAAAAAAAGGCTTGAGTAGCTGAGTACTAAGTACTCTACGTATTTGGGGTGGTGTACCCCTACTATTCGGCCCTTTTGAGTAAGGGGCTGTTTGTTTCAGCCTCCTAATGGTTCAGATGTCTGAATGGCTCAACACTTAATGGTTCAGACTGTTTGTTTCAGCCTCTTAATAGTTCAGATGTCTGAATGACTTAGACATTTGCCTCTGAATGGTTAAGTATTATACAGAGTCTGAATGGTTAAAACATCTTATCTGAATTGATCAGATATTTGCCTCCGAATAGTTAAGCAATATACTAGCTCTTAATGATTCAGACCTTTTATTGGTTCAGCACTTAATGGTTCAGACCTCTTACTGGTTCAGCATTTACCTATTCAGAAGTTATCAAACAGCCCCTAAGACACCCCTTACTCTATTCGGCATTAGTATTTTAAAAATATTACCAAACGACAATATTTAATTATTACACTATTAAGTTAATCTAATATAATTAGAAAGTCATTAAAACATGTTAACATTAATCTCAAGTGAACACTAGTCACTTTAAGGTTGTACGGAGTAGATCACTTGATCCCAAAGTCGATAAGACACTTAGGAGGATTGTCAACAAAGTGTCAATTCGGACAATATAAGGATCTGCAAAACCAGATAAAACGTCAAGAATCAGGAGCCTACAAAAGCTTTACCACATACTGCCTAACAAAAAGTCTAGACTAGAACATGCCATAATCTGCAACTAATAGTCTAATACTAATACTGAGTTTCAACGCTCATCGGCCTCAACTAGTCGTCCTCTATCTTAATGATCTCAGCCTTGACACACCCGTAACTTCCCTGCCGAGGCCGCGTCATCTTAGTGATGACAGACACACATATAGCCTCGAGCTCTGTCCTCTTTTCCTCAAACTTGAGAGCATCACGAAGAAGGTGGTTCCACTCCAACCAACAGACCGTCCTCTCAATGGCTTCACTCAAAGCTATCTTGTCTTTGGTCCTAGCCATATTTCCACACCCACCCAAAGTGCCCTTTGCGTAGTGAATGTAATTCTCTAAAGCTCTCTTGGCCACGGATGCTCTCTTGCGCTCCTCACCTCTAGCCTTGGCCTCCTTGGCCTTCCGATCAACCTTAACATTTGACAGCCTAGCACTGTGATTGGTTATAGTGACTTGGTTCGTGTTATTACTTCCCTCAAGCTTTGCAGACACAGCCAAGGTGCCATTGGCGTCAACCTCAAAGGTGACCTGGAACTGAGCAAAACCTTTGGGTGCTGGAGGAATGCCATTGAGGGTGAACTTGACCAGAAAGTTGTTGTCTTTTGCCATGGGCATGTCTCCCTCATACACTTTAATATCCCAACCAGTTTGGTTGTCTGAAGCAGTGACGAAGTTTTTTGTCACCTTCGTGGGGATGGTTGAATTCCTTGGAATCACAACAGACAACGCACCGCTACACACTGCAACACCAAGAGATAAAGGAGCAACACCCACTGGCACGACATCCTTATTCAAACCAGAACAGGTACTGGTCAGTGATGCAGCATGTAAAGCTGCTCCACAGGCAACAGCCTCATCTGGATTTATACTTTTCCAAAGCTTCTTTCGAGGGAAGAGGCCCTGTAACAAGCCCTCAACCTTTGGGATTCGGGAGGACCCGCCAACCAGAACAATATCATGAATTTGCCTCTTCTCCATTTTGGCATCTTTCAAACAATTCTCAACCAGCGCCATACAATCTCCAAACAGATCCATATTCAAGTCCTCAAACCGTGCACGGGTAATGGCTGAACAGAAATCAATGCCCTCAAATAGACAATCAATATCAAGAGATGTTTCGGTAGTTGCAGAGAGGAATCTTTTGGCCCGCTCACAAGCCGTTCTTAACCGCCCCAGAGCCCTAGGATCTCCACTCAGGTCTTTATTGTGTTTCCTCTCAAATTCAGCAACAAAGTGGCTCACCATTCTTTTATTGAAATCTTCCCCACCAAGGTGGGCGTGCCCGTTAACAGCTTTGACTTCGAACACGCCCTTCTTGATTGTGACAATAGAGACATCAAATGTCCCACCACCAAGATCAAATACCAGAATGTTTTTAGAAGCGGAACCGCCACTTCGAGATCCTTTCTTGTCAAGACCATACGCAATAGCAGCAGCTATGGGCTCATTGATGATGCTTAGGACATTGAGCCCAGCCATGAAAGCAGCATCTTTCGTAGCCTGACGCTGTGCATCATTGAAGTAGGCAGGAACAGTGATAACAGCATTCTTGACTTTTTTGCCTAGGTAGGCCTCAGCAACATTCTTCATCTTTTGGAGGATCATTGAAGATATCTCCTCGGCGGCGAATAGCTTCTCTTCACCTTTGTAAGTGACTGATATCATTCGTTTCTTGCCACCACCACTACCGCCATCGGCGCCAGGGATGACTTTAAAAGGCCAGAGCTTCAAGTCGTTTTGCACCGATGCATCACTGAACTTCCTACCCATCAGCCTCTTCACATCTGTTATTCATACACATAAATTTGCATAACAAGCCGGTGGAGGGGGAATTGAAGCAAGTGGTTTTTGGGTAATTTCAGAAATCAAAGTTCAAAATTCTATTTAAGCCAAAACAAAAAAAAACACAGACCGAAGATGGTATGGGAGGGATTCATGTGGGCCTGGTTCTGGGCAGATTCGCCTACAAAGCGCTGGACGTCGGTGAAGGCGACCCAAGACGGCGTCGTCCGGTTGCCTAAATCGTTGGGGATGATCTCAACACGGTGGTGTTGCGGCAGCCAGACTCCAACGCAAGAATAGGTGGTTCCCAGATCGATTCCGATCGCCGGAGCTTCTTCAACTGCGGTTGCGGCGCGTTTCCGTTTCTTCCTTCCGTCCATTGGCGCCCAGTAGGGATCAGTGAGTGGCGTTTGCGATGAATAAACTTTAGTAGGGAGTATAAAATTTTAAACTGTACCCCATGACGTATTGGCGTGGCAGTTCCCGGATTAATCGTACCCAGCCCAAATATAGGCTATCTTTCAATATTTATCAATTTTTGACTTTTTTAGTTAAAGTTGTTAAATATTGATTACAAATTAAAAAATAGTGATATTATATATTGATAAAAAAAATTATTAGATTGATTTTATAAAATATTTTCAAAATATTATTTTATATAATTAATACTCCCTCGTCCCCCAGTTTTGTCCACTTTTGACTTTTGAAACTGTTCATCTAAGCATTTTGACTCATCAAATTCTCTTTGTCTTAACATATAGATTTTTAATATATAATTTCTATAATTTTTTAATATACAAATTACAAGATAAAATAAATTAAAAAAGTGCATTGGATGATGTGTAAAAATGAAAGTGGACAAAAACTGGGAGACGAAGGGAGTATATCATATATATTTTATTTAGTTATAAAACAAAAGTTAAAACTGGTTTACTATAAAATGTTAAAACTAGAATAACATAACTTTTGTATTTGTATTTGTTTTGTTAACAAAAGATGTCTTTTGATCCCGGAGCTTGTGGTGACAAATACGCAATCTAGAGAAATCGAGACTACAAAAATATATAGAAAAGGATCAAAATATGAAAGTTTGAGATAGAATTTATTCTTGAGACTAGCCCAAAGTCTAATAGTCTCAAATCATCTTAAATTCTTAATTCATAAGGAGTACTTGAACCAGTTCGAAACTAATGAAGGACATGTCTTTAATTGGCAACAAACTGATACAAAGGATAGAAGCAATCCAAAAGATTGATCCTCTGAAGCTTTAAGAATCTTATAAAATGAAAGGTCGTGAAATAAATATAGAATATTATACTTTTGACATTTCTTTTTTGTATTAAAATAATATACATGTGTGTGTACAAACCGGATATGAAAATAAACCGGATAAAAAAACAAACCGGATAAAAAACAATATGTATAAGAAAAACAAACCGGATAAAAAATCATCTTTGTCTATGTTTGAAATGTTGCAAATTATAAATTTGGAAGTATGATATTAGTATATATTCGTCATATGTACATTTAGAATTTAGAAAATACTCATTTTACATGTTTGACCAATGGGAGAGCAACAATTACATATTCTGATTAGATGTGACAAAGTTTAAATGGATTTACAACACATCTCTGTTATGCATTAATATCACATACATGGCAAAGTCCCTTCCTATGATTCCCAAGGGGAGGAGAATCTAGTCCTCTGTAGGACATTTTGTCAACAGAGTGTCATATAGGACATTAGAAGGGAACCTCTATGCAACACAGAAGCCGAAATGTACACTGCACAAGGCAAAAGGAGGAAGGGGGAGGGGGCTACAAAACCAAAGATAAAGTTTCAAGAATCGCGAGCCTAAAAAAGCTTAAGCATACGGCTTAACAAAAAAGGTCAGAACGCGCCATAATAGGCACCTAATTAAACTGAGTTTCAAGATTCATCGGCCTCAACTAGTCGTCCTCTATCTCAATGATCTCAGCCTTGGCACGCGTGCAACTACCAAGCTTAGGCTCCATCATCTTAGTAATGACAGACTCACATACTGCCTCCAGCTCTTTCCTCTTTTCCTCAAACTTGAGAGCATCACAGAGAAGGTAGTTCCACTCCAACCAACGGCCAGTCCTCTCAACTGCTTCTCTCAAAGCTATCTTGTCTTTCATCCCAGCCCTATTTCCGCAGCCGCTCAAAGTGCCCCTCGTGTAGTGGATGTAATTTTCCAAAGCATTTTTAGCCACGGCTGCCTTCCTGCGCTCCACATCTTGAGCCTTGTACTCCTCAGCCTCATTCACCATCCGATCAATCTCCTCCTTCGACAACCTAGCACTGTGATTGGTTATTGTGATTTGGTCTCTGTTGTCACTACCCACTAGGACTGCAGACACAGTCAAGATGCCATTGGCATCGATTTCAAAATCAACATCAAACTTAGCAACACCTTTGGGTGCTGGAGGAATGTTATGGAGGGAGAATCTGCCCAGAAAATAGTTGTCCATTGCTATTGGCATTTCCCCCTCAAACACTGGGAACAAAATACTTGTTTGGTTGTCAAGAGCAGTTTGCATCTTCGCTGTCATCTTTGTAGGGATGGTGGTATTCCTTGGAATCACAATAGACATGTCCAAATCATACGTCTCAATACCAAGAGACAAAGGAGTAACATCCACAAGCACAATATCCTTATTCGTACCCAAACAGGCACCAGTCAGGGATGCAGCATGAAAAGCTGCTCCACAAGCGACAGCTTCATCCGGGTTTACACTTTTGCAAAGCTTCTTTCCATGGAACAAGTCTTGCAACAAACCCTGAATCTTTGGGATTCGGGTCGACCCACCAACCAAAACAACATCATGAATGTTGTTCTTCTCCATTTTGGCATCCTTTAAACAATTTTCAACTGGTTCCATGCAATCCTTGAAGAGATCCAAATTCATTTTCTCAAACCGTGCACGGTTGATGCTCAAAGAGAAATCGATGCCCTCACAAAGATACTCAATTCAATAGACGTTTCTGTAACTGAAGAGAGGTTTCTCTTGGCCCTCTCACATGCTGCTCTCAGCCGCCCTAGGGCTCTAGGATTTGTGCTGATGTCTTTCTTATGTTTCCTCTCAAACTCAGCTACAAAGTGGCTCACCATTCTGTTATTGAAATCCCCTCCCCCAAGGTGGGTGTCCCCATTAACAGCTTTGACTTCAAACACGTCCTTCTTCACTGAAACAATAGACACATCAAAAGTCCCACCACCAAGATCAAAAACCAGTATGTTCTTTAAAGCAGGATCACCACTACCAGATCCTTTCTTGTCAAGACCATAGGCAATTGCAGCAGCTGTAGGCTCATTGAGGATGCGTACGACATTAAGCCCAGCAATGACGCCGGCATCTTTTGTAGCTTGACGTTGTGCATCATTGAAGTAGGCTGGAACAGTGATGACAGCATTCTTGACTTGTTTGCCTAGATATGCCTCTGCAATAATCTTCATCTTTTGGAGGATCATTGAAGATATCTCCTCAGCAGTAAATAGCTTCTCTTCGCCTTTGTAAGTGACTGATATCATTGGTTTCTTTCCACCACCACTGCCACCATCAGGGCCAGCGATGACTTTAAAAGGCCAGAGTTTCAAGTCATTTTGCACCGTTACATCACTAAACTTTCTACCTATCAGCCTCTTCACATCTGTCATTCATATACAACAAATAATATGTTTATTACGTCCTCCGTTCTGAAATGAATGTCAATGCGCACTATTCACAATGCAAATTCATCTTCTTCCTTAACCTATTTTTCATTATTTATTTGATTAAATAATATAGTGCCACCTCTTATTTTTTGAACTTTTGACATAGTTTATAAACATTTGATATTCTTTTAAATTTTACAACACGTTTTTAAATAAATTTGAAAATAATTTTTACCCGAGCTTTAGTATATCATAAATTCAAGGATGGAGTGACTAGATTCCAGCCAAATTGGATGGCTTGTTGGATACATTGGCATAAAGTAAGTAATGGGAAGAGTAATGTAAAAAAGGATCCCAAGTACACAAATTAAAGACGAGAGAAAAAATAGAAAAGGCAAGAGACGTACCGAAGATGGTATTGGAGGGATTGACGGCGGCCTGGTACTGTGCAGATTCGCCGATGAGTCGTTCACCATCGTTGAAGGCAACCCAAGACGGCGTCGTACGGTTGCCTAAATCGTTGGGGATGATCTCAACCCGGTCGTGTTTTGGCTGCCAGACACCAACACAAGAATAAGTGGTTCCGAGATCGATCCCTATCGCCGGTCCTTCTCCTTCTTCAGTTGGCCTTCTTCCAGTCTCCTCCATTATCTTCGACTTCTCCTCTCCTGCTCCCACTTCGGGACTTCCCAGTTCAGACTTCAGAGCCGTATTTTCTGGTTCGGTTCTGAGGGTTTTACAGTTTATTTACTTTATTGGGATTTAGGAAATTGTGTTGGAGTATTAGATTAATACTACCTCCATCCCAAAAAGATTTACACGTTTTGACTAAAGTTGAAATTAATGGAGAGATAATTTTGTGTTGACTTTCCAAAAATACCCTTGATACGATGGGTAAAAGTAGGATGTGATGTGTAGATTATTAGGAAAAAGGTATGATGTGATAGATAGGGTTTGAAAAAGTAAGGGGTAAAAGTGATTTTTTAATAGAAATGGGTAGGAGATTATGGAACCCAATTTTTTTGAAAGGTGTAAATCTTTTTGGGACGGAGGGAGTAGTTATTAACATATTTTTGTACTAGTATGATTTTATCATTCTCTTTAAACAATCATTTTAAATAAAGATTGTTTTTTTTTAAAAAAACAAGAATTTGTAAAGGAGAGCCTACTTCTCTCAAAAACAAACTACCTATTACAGTAGCAAAAAAAAATTGGCACTTAAAATATAAGGATGACGTAATACAAGGGTGAAAAACAAACGAATTCCCAACTCAATGCATTGCGAGAAAAGGACCGCATAAAAGGGTAGAAATCATAATTATGGCAGAGCCATTTATGACAAATAAGCAGTAGCCAGTGCAAAATTATAAAGAAAAAATGGAGCAAAAGCTATCTATCTAACATCAGGGAGGAAAACAGACTTGGATTTTCTAAAGCACGAACACAAAACAAAGCCTTGTGACATGCATCACAGCGGCAAACATAGGACAATTGCAAAACAAACCAAGCTTGGCGATTCATCCTACTAAAGCAATACCATACTACCGTACCAAAATGTTAGAAGCTCCCCATAATCTGGGTAACAAAAAATGGCAAAACCCAACCTATCCTTGTCATGCATCTCATTTATGTAGAGCTCGAGATCTGCGTGTTACGCGTGTTACACGTCTTGCTGGCTGAGGTTGCGTCTTGGTAAGCGCAGAGTCACATATGAGCTCAAGCTCTTTCCGTTTTTCCTCAAACATGTGAGCATCACCAAGTGGGAAATTCCATTCTAACCATTTAGCAGTGTTCTCAACTGCATCTTTTAAGGTTTTCATTTTCTTCTTCCCAGCCTTCTTTACCAAAACACTCAAAATACCCCATGAGTAGTGAATGCAATTCTCCAAAGAATTTCTAGCCACGGATGCTTTCTTGCGCTCCGCATCTCGAGACTTGTACTCCTCGGCATCTTTCACCATCCGATCAATCTCCTCCTTTGAAAGCCTCAAGCTGTGATTGGTAATAGTGATCTGATCACTATTGTTGCTCCCCACTAGTACTGCGGACACAGTCAAGATGCCATTGGCATCAATTTCAAAATCAACGTCAAACTTAGGAACACCTCTGGGTGCTGGAGGAATGTTATAGAGGGTAAATTCGCCCAAGAAATAATTATCTTTTGCTATTGGCATTTCACCCTCATACACAGAGAACAAAACACTTGTTTGGTTGTCATGAACAGTTATACACTTCGATGTCATTTTTGTAGGGATGGGGGTATTCCTCGGAATCACCACAGTCAGATCCCCGCCGTGCAACTCCATCCCAAGAGATAGAGGAGTAACATATGTTCTTATTCCGACACAAGCAGGCACCTGTCAGGGACGCGGCATGAGAAGCAGCTCCATCGGCAACAGCCTCATCCGGGTTTACACTTTTGCAAAGCTTCTCTCTATGGAAGAGGTCTTGCAACAATGCCTGGACCTTTGGGATTCGGGTGGACCCACCAACCAAAACAATATCATGAATGTCGTCCTTCTTCATTTTGGCATCCTTTAAACAATTATCAACACAGTCCAAACAAGCATTAAACAAATCCAAGTTCATTTGCTCAAAGCGTGCACGGGTGATGGTCGAAGAGAAATCAAAGCCCTCATAGAGACAATCAATGTCTATAGATGTATCAGTAACCGAGGATAGGTTTCTCTTGGCCTTTTCACAAGCTGCTCTTAACCGCCCAAGAGCCCTTGGATTTGAACTAATGTCTTTCTTATGTTTCCTCTCAAACTCGGCAACAAAGTGGCTCACCATTCTATTATTGAAATCCCCTCCACCTAAATGGGTGTCCCCGTTAACTGCTTTGACCTCAAATGCATCCTTCTCCATTGCAACAATAGATACATCAAATGTCCCACCACCAAGATCAAAAACCAGAACGTTCTTTGAGGCAAAATCACCACTTCCAGATCCTTTCTTATCAATACCATATGCAATTGCAGCGGCTGTGGGCTCATTGATGATACGCAAGACATTAAGCCCAGCAATGACACCAGCATCTTTCGTAGCCTGACGCTGTGCATCATTGAAGTAGGCAGGAACGGTGATAACAGCATCCTTGACTTTTTTGCCTAGATAGGCCTCAGCAATACTCTTCATCTTTTGGAGGATCATTGAAGATATCTCTCTTCAGCAGCAAATGTCTTCTCTTCACCCTTGTAAGTTACAGCTATCATAGGTTTTTCGGCATTCCCATACTCGGGGCCAGCTGTGACTTTAAACGGCCAGAGCTTTATATCATTTTGTACCATTATATCACCGAACTTTCTGCCAATCAGCCTTTTCACATCTGTAGTTGGTATAAGCACAAAAAAATGTAGTAAGCATAAGCTACCATCTACATTGCACAATACTCTTGCGAATGAAAACTCCAATGTATGGCAAAATTTTGAACGTATAAAGCCACACAAATATATATTTCTAGCTCAAAATTCAAGTATCTACCCAAGTAATTACTTTCTAGTTAAAAAAGTTACCATCTTTACCACATTAGCATTCTTAATATTAACATTGAAGTTAAAAAATAACAGAGGAAAAAAAGGGAAATGCATCAAATAGAGAGTATGAATTTAGATATTCATACTATTTAAGTAAGAATTATATTTTAGTGCTATTTAAGTAAATTTCACCAAAAAAAATATTTTAGTGCTATTTAGGGAAAGTCATTATATTCTAGTGCTATTTAAGTAAATTTCCCTATTAAAAATTAAAGCCAAAAGAAAAACAGAAAATTGTGAGAGGAGAAGAGGCAAATACCGAAGATGGTATTGGAGGGATTAAACGCGGCCTGATTCTGTGCAGATTCGCCGATGAGTCATTCCCCATCCGTGAAGGCAACCCAAGACGGCGTCGTACGGTTGCCTAAATCGTTGGTGATGATCTCAACCCGGTTGTGCTGTGGCTGCCAGACCCCGACACAGAAGTAAGTGGTTCCGAGATCGATCCCTATGGCCGGACCTTCTTCTACTTCTTTTTCAGTTGGTCCTCCTCCGTTTTCGGCCATTTTCTCTGGCGTCTCTCCTCCTCAGTCTTCTCTCCGGTGGAATTGTAATATTGACCGGGAGTGGAAAAGGGAGAGCTTCGCATTTTCTTCATCTCATCAGTGGCGCTTTATAGCTTCCCCGCCGAAGTGTGAGCGCAAGAATTGGACAAGAAGACCAGAGGTCTCCCCTATTTCTATACGTTGGAGCTCTAAATTTGCATTGGGATTTAGCAATTGTTCATCCTTTGGCGGCTAACTTTTAATTTGTGCACGCCCACTGTTGAGTTTGTATGGCAAGGCAATGTCTTCTCTCCCTGGTGTAAGCAAATGCCACTCAAATCACGACATTCCATGATCATTCCATTCCACTTTTTATTTTATGTGCAAGGCATGATTCCCTTTTTTTATTTTTTTTAAATATTTTTAATATTTTTAATTTAAAAAAAATATTTTTTTAAAATAAGTAGACATATTTTAATAATAAAATAAATGTGTAAAATAATTTTTGATAATTAAAAATCAATAAAAAATACAAAAAATAGACAAAAACAATGAATTGCCACTGTATGTTACGACACTCCACTCATTTGCCACACGGTGACTGGTTATTTTTCATTGATTGAAATAATCCATGTCACCCTGTGACATTTCATTTTTGATTTGTCATTGCTAATGGTCTAATAGCTAGGGGTGGACACGGTACTGGTACGGTACCGCCGGTACCCGCCACCGTCACCGGCAAGGTAGCCGTGTCACCGGTTCCGGTACCTATTTTTTGGTACCGGTACCGGTCCGGTTCCGGTATCGGTTTATTTTTTTTTTTTGTTGATTTGAATAACAACTACTCATTTTCAATATTTAAATAACAACTACATTTTTAGATTTTTTATTTCATTTTTTCCTTAAACAATTGCAAATTTACAATTTTAAAAATTTAAAAAAATAATAGGGGGGGGGGCGAAACCGGCCGGTCCGGTACCGGAACCGCCGGTCCGGGAACTGGAACCGGTACCGGCCGGCACGGTATCATTTCCGGTTACTCGGGGTGGCAGTACCGGAACCGGCGGTTCCGTCCCGGAACCGTACCGTGTCCACCCCTACTAATAGCACATCAATTTCTACCCTATTTTGTTGGATGTATCAACATTTTATGTTAGTATAATGCTAATTTTGTTAACAAAACAAAATGTAGTGCTATTTTTGACAAAATATAATAGTTCAGTTTTAATGTAAGAAATAATGTATATAAATAAAAAATGGAAACATTTTTAATGCTCATAGGAAAGCAATTTTTTTAATAAAAATGAAAACATGTTTCTCTTTACCATTAATTATTAAATAATAGAAACAAAAATTGGCCTAGTAACACTTACCACTGATCCCCTCTACAAATAAATATGGAAACTTTTTTAATGCTCATACAAAAACAATATTTTTAAATAAAAATAGAAACGTATTCCCCTTTACCATTAATTATTAATTAATAGAATCCAAATCTATACTATATTTAAAAAGAGAGGAATTTTTTCCCGCCCATATGTAAGAGTAATATATGGAAATGTTGTGCGTTTTGCTTTTACTCATTATATGTATGTGTATACATTACATTTAGTAAGCATTAATTAATACTCCATAACTAGTGGTAAAGGGAATACGTTCAGAGAAATTTTGTATGAGCATTAAAAATTGGGAATTTCATAGAAGTATTAACTAATACGTAGTAATTAATTAATAATTAATCGTAATGGAGAATTTCGTATAAGCATTAAAAATGTTTTCATTTTTATTTAAAATACATCAATATGTCTTTTAATAACAACGAAACAGTTATGTGGAAAGGGAAAGATGTTTCCATTTTTATTTAAATGCTATGCCAATTAATGGTAAGTGATAAATGGGAACATGTTTCTATCTTTATTAAAAAAATATTATGTTTTCATATGAGCATTAAAAATGTTTTTATTTTTATTTAAATACATTAATATGTTTTCATATGTAAATACATTAGTAATAAGGGATGTGAAAGATTAGTTGAGAGTATGGCTACCAAAATCACTTCTTAGTCATCTAAACACCTCTCATATGCTGGAAAAGTTAATATGATCAATACTATTTTGTATGGGATTATTACTTTTTGAAGCAGGCTCTTTTTAATCCCTACAAAAGTGATGAAGAAGATCCAAGCTCTATAGAGAATTTTCTTGTGGAGTTCATCTCTTGAATACAACAAAGTCCCACCATTTCCCTAGCATTTTCCGGGATCCAAACATACCACTAGAGACTAATTTACAAAGTCAAAGATGATATGTTAAAATCAGCAAATCTCGTTGCCTTGTTGGAACATTGAACTTCAAGAACACTAATCTAAATGAGCAAGTTCTCAATTTGTAAAATATGCATTCAAGCTCAATATATTCATCAATGTCGTCAAACCATCTGGAATCAATGAAGCCAGAAATAAATACAAGAAGAAATAAATAAGATTTACAAAAAAAATGAAAACAAATAGGAAATTGACAAATGAGGAACAACTTACCTGTTCTATTAGAAATGGGCAGGAGGGAAGAATGCATATGACTGTATGTCTGTATGTATTTCTAGTGGAGGAAATTAGAAAGATTTAGGGGCTGTTTGTTTCAGCCTCTTAATGGTTCAGATGTCTAGATGGTTCAGCACTTAATGGTTCAGACTATTTCTTTCGTGAGCAGATGTCTGAATGGCTCAGACATTTGCCTCTGAATGGTTAAGTATTAGACAGAGTCTGAATGGTTAAGACCTCTTATCTGAATTGATCAGACATTTGCCTCTGAATAGTTAATCAATATACTAACTCTTAATGGTTCAGACCTCTTACTGATTCAGCACTTAATGGTTCAGACCTCTTACTGGTTCAGCGCTTACCTATTCAGAAGTTGTCAAACAGCCCCTTAGAAAAATGTAAGTCATTAGAAGAAACTAAAAAAATTGTGATAAAAGAAATCGCAATTACATTAGAAAATACCCTAAGGGAGTATTAGTTTTGCCTCAAAGGCTCAAACAATATTTATTACTCCCTCTGGTAAATAAAATAATATTTTTGCCTCAAAGACTCGAACAATTATTCGCATGACCAAACTTTTTTCACTTTGTTTATATACTTTTGTTGTTCATAAGCTAAAATAATATAGTCATGTCTCACCTCTAGTTTTACGGATCTTTTGAGATAGTTTTTAAGTATATAATTTTTACTTTTTTTGGATACAAATTTGAAATAAACTGATTTGAAAATAACTTCAATTAAATATTGTAATCTGAACTTTCCTTTTTGTAGAAGACCATCAGAGTTCAGACCATAGATAAAGTTATTCTTTTGACTATTCACTCAGTGTTAGGAAAGCAAGGGAATGTGGAAAAATACATGCAACAATGTATTCCATGACAATAAGGGGAAACATGTTTGTTCAACTTAGGATCCACGGTTTTCTATAGAACAACTGAGATATGTTAAGAGAGAGTGAGTCACAAAGAATCATACAAGGGAACATCAGTACAATTGGACAAAGAACAAGCAGAAATGAAGACAACACGACGGAATGTTACCCAGAAAATGGGACTAAAACTCGGGGAGGTGCAACCAAGATTAGCAATTTAAGCATAAAATTAATAAGGGGTTCGTTACATGGATGTACGAAATTCCGGTGAAGTTCTTGCATACTGCACCAGAGAAATCAAAAGACCACAACTGCGAAACAAGAACGGGTTTCAAGATTCATTAGCCAACTAAAGTTTAAGTATACTGCCTAACAAAAAGTTCAGAACATGCCATAATCTGAACCTGATAAAACTGAGTTTCAAGATTCATCAGTGCCCACTAGTCAGTCGTCTATGTCAATGATCTCAACCTTGACACTTCCCTGCCGAGACTCCACCATCTTTGTAACAAGAGGCTCACATATGACTGCGAGCTCCTTCATCTTTTCCTCAAACTTGAGAGCATCACCGAGAAGGTAATTCCACTCCAACCAACAGACTGTTTCCTCAACTGCTTCTCGCATAATTACTCTGTCCTTTGTCTCAACCCTATATCCAAATTTACTCAACGTGCCCCTCAAGTGGCGAATGTAATTCTCCAATGCATTTTTAGCCACTGATGCCTTCTTGTGCTCCTCATCTTGAGCCTTGTACTCCTCAGCCTCCTTCACCATCCGATCGATCTCCTCCTTCGACAACCTAGCGCTGTGATTGGTTATAGTGATTTGGTCCCTATTGTCACTACCCGTCAGCACTGTAGACACAGTCAAGATGCCATTGGCATTGATTTCAAAATCAACATCAAACTTAGCAACATCTCTGGGCACTGGAGGAACGTTGTGGAGGGTAAATTCTCCCAAGAAATAGTTGTCTTTTGCTATTGGCATTTCTCCCTCATACACAGAGAACAAAGCAGATGTTTGATTGTCATGAGCATTTGTGTAATTGTGCTTTGTCCTCTTTGTAGGGATGGGGGTATTCCTTGGAATCACAACAGACATTTCACCTCCCTGCAGCCTAATCCCAAGAGATAATGGAGCAACATCCAAAAGCACAACATCCTTATTCACACCCAAACAGGCACCGGTGAGAGATGCAGCATGAAAAGCTGCTCCACAGGCAACAGCCTCATCTGGGTTTATACTCTTATAGAACTTGTTTCCAGAGAAGAGCTTTTGTACCAATTCTTCAACCTTTGGGATACGGGAGGACCCACCAACGAGAACAATGTCATGAATGTGGCTCTTCTCCATTTTGGCATCTTTCAAACAATTCTCAACTAGCTCAATACAGTTATTGAACAGATCCAAATTCATTTTCTCAAATTGTGCGCGAGTGATGTTTGAAGAGAAATTGATGCCCTCTAATAGACACTCAATATCAAGAGATGTTTCAGTAGTTGCAGAGAGGGTTCTTTTGGCCCTTTCACAAGCTGCTCTTAAGCGCCCTAGAGCCCTTGGATTTGCACTGATGTCTTTCTTGTGTTTCCTTTCAAATTCAGCTACAAAGTGGCTCACCATCCTGTTATTGAAATCTCCTCCCCCAAGGTGGGTGTCCCCTTTAACTGCCTTGACTTCAAACATATCCTTCTCCATTGTAACAATGGAGACATCAAAAGTCCCACCACCAGGATCAAAAACCAGTATGTTCTTTGAAGCAGAACTACCACTTTTGGATATTTTGTTGTCAAGACCATAGGCAATTGCAGCAGCTGTGGGCTCATTGATGATACGCAGCACATTGATCCCGGCAATGAAACCAGCATCTTTTGTTGCTTGGCGCTGGCCATCATTGAAGTAGGCAGGAACGGTGATAACAGCATTCTTGACTTGTTTGCCTAGATAGGCCTCAGCAATACTCTTCATCTTATGGAGGATCATTGAAGATATCTCCTCAGCGGCGAACAGCTTCTCTTCACCTTTGTAAGTGACGGATATCATTGGTTTCTTTCCACCACCACTACCGCCATTGGTGCCAGGGATGACCTTAAAAGGCCAGAGCTTCAAGTCGTTTTGCACCGTTACGTCACTAAACTTTCTACCTATCAGCCTCTTCACATCTGTCATTCATATAAAACCAATGCATAATAAGCCACACATGACCTTCCCTACCAAGCGAATCACATTCCCTATTTGATAAATTTTTGGTAACAACAGAAAAATAATCAGTGGGGAAAGTAACTTAAAAAGGGAACTCAAAGCTAGTGAGCTTCTCTTTGAGCACAAAAAGTTGAATTGTTTGTGCGGAGTAAATGCAATTCATGCCAAAACATTGAATCAAAACTTTTATTTAAGCAAAAAAAAACGCACCGAAGATGGTATTGGAGGGATTCATGGGGGCCTGGTTCTGGGCAGATTCGCCTACAAGGCGTTGGACGTCGGTGAAGGCAACCCATGACGGCGTCGTACGGTTGCCTAAATCGTTGGGGATGATCTCAACACGGTTGTGCTGTGGCCGCCAAACTCCAACGCAGGAATAAGTGGTTCCCAGATCGATTCCGATCGCCGGCTCTTCTTCAAATGCGGTTGCGGCGCGTTTCAACCGTTTTCTTCCGTCCATGGAGTCCACCCGGCAGTGACCACTACTGTTTGCTCGGAGGAGACCCCTACTTTACCCAGGCTCTTTATTTTTCCAAAAATAAAATATATTCACACGCTTTCTTCTTTCTTTCTTTCTTTTTTTTATTTTACTCCATACTTATTCCATTTACTCCGTTTAATGAAACCTATATATACATACTCCCTGAATATAAAAATACTCCCTTTTTTACCAAAGAAAAAGATTTCTTATTTGATTTAGATTTTGTTCTCTTTTGTTGAAAAAATACCCCCTTTTTTTACCAATGCACAAGCGCGCGCGCACACACATATATAAATGTGTAAAAGCTTCTTTTTTTTTTTGACCAAATGTGTAGCTTCTATTATAATAGCTAGTCATTTATATTATTTCCTTATTTTATTTTTACCTGACATTATTTTTAATATCAAAGTAAAATATTATATTATTTTCATATACTCCGTACTACACTACTCCGTATTATTTTTGTATATAATAATAAATGCATATGTGTGTGTGTGTGTAAATATTGTTTATTTTCAATATTAAAATAAAATATTATTTTCATATATATACTATACTATCATTTCCGTAAATAACAATAAAAGCATATATATGGAAACTATTATATTAGTTTTATTATATTATTAGTATTATTTATATTTTCATAATAATATTGTCATTATCATTATATTTCGAAATATAATGATAATGACAATATTATTATGAAAATATAAATAATAATAATAATAAAACTAATATAATTGAGACAACATTTCCATATATAATAATTATACGCACACCACATTTCGGTTCCTTTATAATACAGAGTAATATACTCCCTCCGTTCCATAAAATCCTTCCTCTTTCGTTTTATTTGAATTCTCTAAAACACTTTCACTTTCTATAAAAAAACCACTTTTACCTTTACTTTTTCATACCTTACCTATCACATCATACTTTTTCACTAATAACCAAACTATCACATCTTACTTTTACTCATCACATCATGGCAAAACTGGAAAGTCAACCAAAATTACACTTTCCTTATTTTTGCCAAAAGTCAAAAGTGGAAGAGTTTAAAGGAACGGAGGAAATATTATTATTTTCGTAATTTTTTTTATAAATACATAACTATACGCACACCACATTTCAGTAAAAAAATATGCTAAAGAGCACTTAACGAAACCCAATTATTAAATGCGTCACTAATGACGGAATATAGAACTTGGAAGTTGGAATAGTACGAGTTCTAGAACTTCTTCAGGATTCGTGTGGGTCCATCGGTCCAGAGTTCAAGGCTGCCCGCCATGCTTATAATTTCATACTACTTCCCTCCCACATTATTTGTATAGTTTTAAATTTTTTCATATTACTCTTTCTACTCTTTCATACTCCATCCGTCCACAAATAAGCTTTACGTTCACTATTCACAGGATCAAACTTTATTCACTTTGTTGGCCTATTTTCGTCATCAATTTGATAAAATAATATAGTCATGTCACCTCTAGTTTTGTAGATCTTTTGATATAGTTTTTTAATATGTAATTTTTATTTTTCAATTCTACACCATTTTTCATATAAAATGATTTGAAAATAACTTCAGTCAAACATCGTAACGCATAATGTAAAGTTTATTTGTAGACGGAGGGAGTATATTATTAAATAAAATATATATTTTATATTAATTACATAAAATAATATTTTTAAAATATTTTATATAATAAATCTAATAAAAATACTTTTTTATCAATATCTAATAACATTTTTTTAATCTGGGGTCAAATTTTACTAATTTCCACTAAAAAAGTAAGAAGTGGACAAATACTCTAAGATAGAGAGAGTCATTTCTCGAATAGAGTCGGGTGACTGTCTATCCTTTTCTATCGATTCTGAAGGTTTTTAGGACGATATTCATCATTTGTAATGAACTTGACCTGTAATTTTTTTTGAATAAAATTATGGAAACATGTTTTTCTGATTCATCCGACTTAAAAGGTCAAATCTAATTAACAATCAAATGAAGGATGGTAATGAAAGAAGGGGAAGAAGAGGGAAAGGAGAGCTTGAGAAAATAACAATGGTGTATTAGTTGTGAATTTTGTTTGTCATTTACAATGGATCCCTCTCCAATTTACAAATGAAAAGATGTGATAATTTGATTATCAGTGAAAAAGTATGTTGTGATAAGTAAGCTATGAAATAGTAGGGGTAAAAGTAGTTTTTAATAGAAAGTGTAATTGTTTTAGGTTTCGGAAAAAAATGAAAGATGAAGAGTTTTATGGAACGAGGGAGTATGTAACTTTTATTTTTGAATTGTATATTATTTTTCATATAAAATAGATGAAATTAATTTACATAGTTTTATTAGAATCTTTTCAGACCAATCAAAAATAAATTTAAGTTAGTCGTAAAGTCTATATCCTCTTTTATTAATCCTTGAATCATGTTACAGTTCTCATGTCCTGACAGTGGCCTTGTTTGGGAACCGCATTTCCGATTAGCGTTAACACTTTGGATAAAATTTTAATGGTGTAGATTAATTCTGAAAATACTAACGCTAAAGGCTATCGTCGAATAACCCTTTCAAAACACTAATGTTAATCTCTAATGCTGATGCTAAACGGAGCCATTATAAACGATTTTATACTTACACAAAAAATAATTATTTATGTACGTTACAAATAATTATGGCATGTGTAAATATAAAATTGTCTCTATTATCATACTCCCCCCGTCTCTAAATATTTGCCACACTTGTATTTCCGAGGCAAAATACTAAGTTTTTTTAATTCATTTTATTTACATATTGGTATAAAAATAAAAAATAAAATTTACATATCAAAAGACTACATGAAAAGTTCTTCGAAATAAGAAGTGTCAAGAATATTTTATTTTATCAAATAACCAATGTAAACGTAGAAATAAACAAAAGTTCTCGCGACTCCTGAAAAAGCAAACATGGCAAATAATTTGGGAGGGAGCATATGAAACGCGGGTAGTAGGCTTTTTAGCATTGCCCTTAATCCTTATCCAGTACGGTTCGAACGTGTTTCGGTTGCTATATAATCCCCTTCAGGCTTTTCAGTTCAGACTCAGCCGATCCCCATCTAAACCACAAAGAGCGTTTACTTTCTAGATCTCTCCATTAGAGCCGCCATTAAAGCTCATCTCGACAGAGAGCTAATCAATCTCCATTCGTTCCGTTTTCGGTGAGTATTAGTAGTTTCTAGGTTTACTTTGTCTCTCTATTTTTACACATTTATTATTCCATGTGTTAGTCCATTTACCGAGCTTATGTGGAGTGTTTCTAGTGATTGGGTCGATTAAATCTGAATTTGTGTTTCATCGTCTTCATTTTCATCACTATTTGAAGAAATTTGAATTCACACACTCGATCATGGACTTGATTTGGCAGTTTTTGGGGCATAATTCGAGCTCAATGTCTTCTTCATTTGAAGTGTTAAATCAGAAATTAGGCATTTTTTTAATGGAGGTTTGCCATCAAAGACGGCAAGCATGTTTGATGTTGTTGAAGTTAAGGGCGATTAATGGATGTATTTCATAATTAACTTCACCTCAGATTATGAATTTATGATGGGTGGATTGAAAACAGTCAACCAGTCCATTTGTGATCCATTTCGATTCATTAAACAGATCTTATCCATTGTATATAATCCATCTGTGTTCTTATAACTTTCCATTTGCGGATAGTCTTAAGCAAAACATATGATGAGTATCTACTCTGTAGTAATCAAAATGAGTGATAAATCATTACTAAATTGGGAGTACAAAAAATTAGAATGATTTCGATGAACTTAGAATATTTTTAAATGGGATTCAATGGACTAAGTAAATAATGGATGGATCAGAAATCAGCCATATGCCCATATAATGCAAATACATGGACTGAATCTATTCCATTATTGTTCATTTTTGGGTCAATTATCAGCATTTCTTCTTCAATCAATCTGGTTTAAAATTTAAATACATTACTCCTATTTCTCTCTATTGACTGATACATTTCTTCTTCAATTATTTTTTCAGCATAAACTTAGTGTCAACAAATCTTCTAGAACCGCCTTCATGGCTGTTGATCATCATTTCAAAAACGAAAATAAATCCATCTCAGCTGCAGTAGAAGAAGACTGTGAGAAGACTACTCAGGCTTGCTTCGACTGTAACATTTGCTTGGATTTTGCACGAGACCCAGTCGTTACGCTGTGTGGGCACCTCTACTGCTGGCCCTGCATCTACGAGTGGTTTAACGTCCAGGCTCGTTCGGATGCTGACGATCATGTGCAATGCCCAGTTTGCAAGACTGAATTGTCACTCAGCTCTGTAGTCCCTCTCTATGGCAGTGGGAAGAAGGTGCCTAAATCTGACCAGGAAGCTCTGATGAAAGTACCACCAAGGCCATCTCCACAATCATTATCAATCCCCACTACTCCACGGGTTTCATACCAAGATCGTGTTAGTCCCAGGCCCGTGCCATTCGACCTCGGATTGAATCCCCATGTCTTGGAGATGTATGGCGATATGGTGCTTGGTAGTGTGTTGGGGAACCCCGGAGGGTTGTATTCGTACCACCACCACTTACACGGCAGGAATGGTAGCCCGACAAGGCTGAGAAGGCACGAGTTGCAGGCAGATAAGTCCCTGAACAGAATTACATTGTTCCTTTTCTGTTGCTTCTTCATGTGCCTGCTATTGTTTTAGTCTTCATCCAATCTCTATATGTACACTTGTATAAAACAATCATGTTGTGGCAAATGTGCTTCCTAGTTTCTATATTGATATGAAAAATGCTTTTTGTACACCTTCTCCTACACCACGAGTTCATAAAACTCTTTTTTTGTTCTGGTCTATGTGACGCTCGAACTGAGCGTCACATAATGTCTTTGAGAACAATGGGCTGTCTGGTTGGAATGGGACAGCTAAAAGACAGCTTGAATGGATGTGTGAAGCATCTCTCCGATTTCAATGGTGGGACGAACTCACACGTTTGTTTGAGTTTGTCAAAGTCAGGCAGCTGATGACAGAATTAGCTGCGGCCATGGGACCAGTGTCCACCTAATAGATGAGGTGTGTTTTTTTTGTCAACTACATGGATTGGGGGGGGCACTATCGCCACATGTTCACATTCTCCGACGTGTGTTTCTAGAGAAAGAATTGTCCAAAGACACGTTTTCTGAATATTCTAAAAACCACTTCCAAAAGAGGAGTTTTCATAGTGTTACACTGTTTTTGCCTTTTCTGGGCATAATTGTCTCCTCAAAAACGAGTGGTTTGAAATTTGAGTAATGCTATAATAGCTTACCCCATTTATACACTATCATTTCTCACCGTACGTTATTTATCTACTCATTAAATTATTTTATCAACATTTGAATTGTGTGGTGGAAAGGTTTTCGGATACACAAAGAGTATATATTTTAGTGTATCCCTAACATTTTTATTGAAATTTAATTACTCTTTCCGTCTCAGATTAAATTGTTTTCTTTTTTAGAGTTTAAAGAAAAAATAAAAGTATTTGCTTGAGATCTATACAAAGAAAAGAGAATTGATGTGGAGTACTAACTCTAATACTTAATAAGTTAATAATGTGTTTATAAATTTGAATTTGGATTTTTAATCTATATTTGATCTAAATTACTTATTTGGAACTTAAAGAATTTGAATTTAGATTTGAACCTAATTCTTTTAATTTAAAACAAACTTATTTACGAACCACACCTTTCTTCCACTATGTTTGGTCCAAGGATTTTGGCTGGGAAAAGAAAAGAAAATAGGAGGGAAATGCTTTTTTTATGTTTGGTTAGCGAGAAAAAGAAAGGAAAAGTGAGAGGAAAAGAAAAGTAGAGAGAAAATTAATTAAAAAACTAGAAAATCAGTTTCCTCCCGATTTCGGACGGAAATGGAGAGAATCCTGTCTCTAAAACCTTCTCGGCAGTTTCCTCACATTCGAAAAACCAGTATAATGCTTCGGTGCTTCCTAGGCTGTTTGCTTTTGGGTTTTATTTTTTTGTCATTAACCTTTGGAAATGAAAATACTGGGTTTCTAGTTTCTATTTTTTTTGTTTTCATAAATAACAAATAACTAGTAAATTTCACTGTTGGAAATTATAAGTCTTGTGTTAGTATTTTAGAGTTAACCGATAATATTAAAAAAAATTATTAAAAATGCTAAAGTTTATTTTGGGTTCAAATTTGATTCAATAAAATCTTTTGGGTTCAAATTTGAATTTATATTGTTTTCTCACCAAATTTCCTTCTAACCAAACAAAAAGAGTATAAGAATATATTTTCCTCATCAATTTTCATCTTAACCAAACATAACTAGAATTTTGAGTTTCCTTTCTTTTCTTTTCCTTATCATTTTCCTTTCTCTCTTAATTCCTTGAACCAAACATAGTGTTCATGTCATTTACAAGTTCACGCCTTACCTTTTTTAATTTATAAATTGTGATTAAAAATTTATCTCTCCTTTTGTAACAATGGTTTCATACATATCAATCTGCTTCCATCACCATCTTTGTCAACTTTAAAATGTAAATTTTAAAGTTAAAATTTTGTAATCTCTCAAGCAACATTTAGAACTTTTTGAAATTATGAGATTTCAAATAAATTTTAATTCTCAAACATTACCTAAAGGAATGTGAAATTTATTTTTGAACATTCTATAGAGTAAAAAAGAAACTTAGAAATGTTAAATATGATAGATATTTCTCTTACATCAATGACAAGAGTTTGTTTCTTTAGGCAGCGTTCCATTCAACTTATTTTTTCTGCTTATTACTTATTCTTATTAAAATCAAATCAGATCAAATCCAATTAGATTGCATCAAACCAGATCAAATCAAACCAAGTCCAACCAAATCAAATCTAAACAATATTATTATTATTATTATTATTACTATTATTACTATTTTATTAGTACCACTACTATTAATATTACTATTATTATTACTATTACTATTATTATTATGATTATAATTATAATTATAATTACTATTGTTATTATTATTACTACTACTATTATTATTACTATTAATAATATTATTATTGTTATTATTTTTATTATTTTTATTATTACTATTACTACTATTATTATTATTACTATTACTATTACTATTACTATTATTATTATGATTGTAATTATAATTATTATTAATATTGTCATTATTACTATTACTATAATTATTATTATTACTATTATTATTATCATTTCAATTATTATTATTTCAATTATTATTATTACTATTACTATTATTGTTGTTGTTGTTGTTGCTATTATTATTATTATTACAATTATTATTATTATTCTTATTACTATTGTTTCTATTATTAAGTGATGGATACCCAATATTTTCCCAAGGACTGTAGATCGGCCCAGGTCCAAATATATGTATCCGGGCCTTATAATATTGAAAGATAATACGAGAATAATAATTAATAGTAATGGAAGCACTGCTCACGGAATAAGAACTCAAACCGGCGGTCCTCTCAGGAACGGAATATGCTTAAGGGATCGCCGGAATATCTTTTATTATTTACTCAAGTATTTTCTCTCTTTATTACAAGATATCTCTATTCCCCAAGTCTCTCTCTCTTTTATAGGCACTCCCCATCCATTATCCTCTTCAATAATGGCAGTGATTGGGGGAATATTCATGCCAGCCTTACTCCTTCTGAGGGATGTATCTCAGCTTGAGGCCGTCCACTGGAGGACAAGTCTCTCCGTCCATCTCTTGCTCCCTGTCTGTCCCTTTCTCCTCGTCCTTGTCCCTTCAATTAAGGGGGGGACTACTCATATGATTCCTTTCTTTTTGGGTAGCTTATTCTTAGTGGGCTGGGCTTCAGCCCATCCTTAAGCCCCCAATCCTTTCCTCTTTCCTATCTTTCTTCACGAACACTTCCTTTGACCGGCCCAGTATATTTTTTCTTTGGGCCGGATACTCCTTTTGATGGACGGGATCTAAATTGGGCCTAAGCCTAATTCGCTAGTATTCTCTCGATAGGCTTGGTTCCCATCAATTATTGCTATTATTATTAGTATTATTATTATTACTATTCTTTTTACAATTATTATTATTATTGTAGTTATTATTATTATTATTACTATTCATATTAAGATTATCATTATTACTATTACTATTATTATTTCTATTATTTATATTATTAATGTCTATTATTATTACTTTTATTATAACTATTATAATAATAATTTTAATTTAAATCAAATTTATATCAGATCAGACCTAATCAAATCGAATCAGACCAGATTAAATCAGACTTGATCAGATATGATCAGATCTAATTAGATCAAAATTTCAAAAAATCACATCAGATCAGGCAAACAAAACACAACCTTATTAACCTAGAATTTACCCCTTAATTTTTTTATATAAATATTTTAATCTACGTAGTATGATGAATAAAAATTCCAGTTCAGAACAAGAATATTATTTTAGAACGGATGAAGTAGAAGAGATGAAATGATTCAGATTCACCTATTTCTTCCAATCCTTCTACAAATAGAAAAGATGAAAAGTGAAATTTATTTTAAGATAATCGAGAAAGAAATGCATGGAAAATAATAAATTTTGAAGACTGGGGAAAACTTACGAAAATGAGATGTGCATTTTCTTTTGGAAAACCAATAAAGAAAAAGGTGAAGTCTCTTTTAGGAACAAAAAATTTAAAATAGAGCAGAATTAAATCAAGAAAAATGTGTGTAAACATATTGGCATAGTAGCAAGGAAATCATCCCAAATTTCTCCACATCTAGTGTTCGAGCTTCACTACGTTTAAGATGTTGAGATTACAAGATTGTACAGATACTACACATACTCAAACAAAAAATCAAGAGAAATGTCTTGGCAAAAAATCAAGAGAAATGTTAGAGTACTTAAGAGTGAGTATTTTTGAGTATTTAAAGGTGTTCACAACTTTCCCAATCTAAACACAAAACAAAATTTGTTTACCTTGCATATGACAAAAGATAAACTTTATTTTGGGATTTATTTTGGGAAGAAGAGAGCACAAGTAAATGGGAGATTTTTAGTTTGGTCCATAGAGGTAAGGTTTTTGTATAATGGAAACATTTCCTTTTTCTTTAGAGGTTTTTGTATAATGGCAACATTTCCACCACTTGAATTTTGATGGATTAAAACAAAGATATACATGAAGCTTTGTTGCTCATTTATGAAGCTTTCAACAAACCTCAAGACCATCCAAAACTTTTGACATCTCTAATCCTCCAAGCGTGAGAGTGGTCTAGCTTTTTGAGGATGTAAATTGTCTATTGATGTGAAGACAAATCGAGTTCTTGGAACCCAAAAATTATTTCTATATGGCACAAACCCGGGGGTGCAGCCTTTCAAACGATGACATTTGATTGTGGAAACATCGGCTTCATCACGGGAGAAGCCTCCTCGCTAGGCAACTCCAGAAAAGCCTGGTTTCCAGGGCAGAAATAGGTTAGGAAAATCACTGAATCTAGCTCATTAGATACCCAAAGCAAAACATTGTAAAAAATGATTCTTTCAGCTGCATTGACAATATAAGTTTGCATTATCATCTACCAACAGGAATGAGGGGAAGAAAACTTACCCGTGTTTGCCGCCTTGTTTCATCAGAACATAAGAATTCAATCATAGAGAAAACAATGGCACGAGATTCTACATTCAAGGCTATACATCCAGATTCTTTCCTTCAGAGCACATCCATTTTATCATCGTCTCATAAGAAATTGTGTCAGGCTTCAAACCACGTGCTAACATTCTTCTAAAAACAACCTCTGCCTCCTTGACCTTCCCCGCTCGGAACAAAGACAACACGAGACAACTGTTGCACTCGTCATTTGAAATACCACCATTCCCACCAACCCGGTCCACAACCTTATGAGCCTCCTCTATATGCCCATCCATGCACAGTCCCTGCACCAGAGTGGCCATCAACACTCTATTCGGCTTACACCCGAAAGCAGCCATCTTGTCTAGAATAGCCACTGCCTCTAACGAATCCCTCTTTTCAACAAACGCCTGAATCAGCGTGGTATAGGTAACAGCATTTGGTTTGCAGTCGCCACTTTCTTTCTCCATTTCATCCAACAACTCCATTGCCCTCTCCAAATCGCCGAACCTTGAGATCCCATCAAGAAGAGCAGAATACACCACTGTTCCGGGAAAGCAATCATGCCCCTTCATCGTCTTAACCATCCCACAAGCCTCTTTCAACCTGCCCACGTCACACAACCCTTTGATTATCATAACATAAGAGGCCATATCGGGATAGAGATCAATTAACCTCATCTCTCTCATCAACTCCATTGCCTCATCCATGTCCCCTTTCTTACACAGCAACCTAATCACTCCATTATATGCAATCACGTCGGGCCTACAATTGTATTCCTTCATTTTCCTCAACACCCACAATCCCAAGTCTGCATCTTTAGCCTCTCTGCACAAATTGAACACAACCCTGAACATTTTTACACTCACTCCACATCCCTCATCTGACCCATAAGCCTCAATTGCATCGGTAACAATTTTAGGGTTTTCATTGATCTTCAGCAAGTTACAAGCTTTGATATACATGTGTGTTGAGTGTCTGTACGAAGGTTGAAGACCCGCCCATATGAAGAATCTCAGGCCTACTTGGGGGTTTTCAACTGAAAACCTTTCGAGAACTTGGGTGACACAAGTGGCATCCAGTTTGGCTTTAACTGAGATCAGGGATTTCTCGATTTTGGGCCCATTACTCTGCAAATGGGTCACGAATTGATGTGAAGCAGATGATGACGAAGACGAGGACGTGGAGAAGAAAATACTATTGCTGATTTGAAAGTTGGGGTTCTTGAAGACTGAGAAGTAGGTAGAGATTGAGATAAACTTCATGGCAAATTCCTTCCGAGAAGATGAATTATGAAGAAAGGACATGCCAAACTTTTGGATAAATGGCAGGTAGGATACGCGGATGATGGTTGACCAGATACGAGGTTAAAGCTGCAGAGGCCAACCCAAGAAATTCAATCTATTGGGCCCCATGTCTGAAAATACAGGTCCCCGCACTACGTGTCGAGCTACAACTAATTAAAAAATTAAGAATTACTCTGGGGTACATCTTTACATTAATAAATAACAATAAAATCAGCACATTGTATGATAGAACAATAACCATTCATAAATTACATTACACATAAGAAATACGGAGTATATTTTACCCCTCTTTGGGGATTTTTCATCTGCTTATCATGTTTCTGTATATTCTCCTTTTTAAATCTACTTTGTTTCATATTTTTCATTCCTTATACAGGCTCTTATCGTTAGATAATGCTTTTTTAAACAATTAAACCTACATCTTAGTGGCCACATTTTTAATTTTTAGATTTATACTCTTATCGATGTTTTGATAAGTCTACAATGAGTTACGTTGATCATGCTAATTTTATAATCTAATGTCTTTGTTATTGATCTAGTAACACCAATTACAACTTTCCCTGCCTCTAGCCTCTAGGTATACTATGAGTGAAAAGTAAACAAATTGAATAAGTAAACAACAAATTGATAGGAACTAAACAAGTTGCAGTTAATTAACAAATAAAATTGATAAACTACAACTTATTCATTGGATAAAATAATTCAACTATTTGATATTAATTACTCGCTTGCTCCTATAAATTGCAAAGAAAGGTCTTATGAGGATATGTCCCTTATACTCTGTATTCGCAAATGTTAAATAATTTCCATTTGATAATTCTCTTGTGTAAGTGTAACTGGTCGAAGAAAATAAACGACCTAAATTATCTCTAGGACCCTTGAGAAATGATACTCTCTTCGGACAGTTCCTAATCAAAATATCTATCAAGCCAGATCAGGAGCATCCCAATTTCTCGAATCATCATCAATTTCGGTATTTCCTTTATCCGGAATTTCAACATTTTCAAATTGTCATTCTCCACAATGTCGTCATCACACCAATCTTCTAGCACAACACTAGCAACTAATGTCAAATTTATCAAGTGCTCCTTATTCAGATTGTGCAAGTTCTTCAGGTATCCTTTTCTATTTACGTTTTTTCTAAGAACCTTAACTGCAAGAGAACTTTAATACTCCGTAATATATATAAATACAAACTACATAATCCATTCCAATTAGTGTACAACAATTTTAACGTATTCTTTCCGCACAAATAACTGAAATAAGAATTTAGAAACTATTCACAGCTCACCCAAATTTAAGAAAATAAAACAAACCTAAATTTTCCCTAAAAACATAATTTTTTTTAAAAATGAAATAAAATAAAAAAACAAACCTAACAGGCTAAAAGCATTCGGCACCCACAACCCCCAAGGAATTGTTCTAAATTCTGAATTTTATTTTTTTAGTTGCACGCAAATTGTAAGCTTCCAAATTCTAAAATTGTAAATTTTGAAATTGTTCCGAATCGGCATGGCACCCACATCCTAAAATGTTCTTAAATCTATCTTTTAAATCAAGTATTCAAAAGTTCAAACCTTAATATCAATTGCCAATCACTAGTGGATTATTTGTATATTATACAAACACACATCATTGAATATTGAAATTAGAAAAGGAAAAAAAAACAAACCTGACATTTGAGAAGCCGACTAGCCGAAGAGGATGAAAAGGGGATTGAACTCCGAAGGAAAAAAACGGGCTGAAATTTGCTCGTGTATCCAAAGCCAGGTTTGGGGTTTTAATTTCTTTTTATACTCCCTCCCTCCCTAAATAAATTTCCCATTTCTTTTTTTCTTTGTCCCCAAATAAACTTTTCTTTTCCCCTTAAAAACCACTTTTACCCTTTACTTTTTCATACCCTACCTATCACATCATACCTATTTACTAATAATCTACGTATCACATTTTACTTTTACACATCACATCAAGGGTATTTTGGAAAGTCAACACAAAAATATCTCTCCCTTAAATCGTCAAAAAGTCAAAAAGGAAAGTTTATTTGGGGACGGAGGGAGTAGTTTTTGAGATATAGGGAAAAATTATCTAAAATAATTCCAATTTTGTCTTTAAAAAATAATCTACTTTTTACTATGATGCATAATGATTTCAACTTTATTGAAATTTTGAGTTTTGGATCGCCGTTAAGTCTCTAACGGCACGTTAACAAAAATGTCTGTTTTGCGCAACAAAATGAATGTTCATATTATTTTTGATAATTTTTTTTATATTTTTTTTTTGAAATTTTCATTTAAAATTTTAAAATTACTTTCTACCTCAGTTTCTTTTACTTTTTTTAAAGATTATTCTTACCTTAGAAAAAAATAAAAAATAGATATAAAAAACAATGAAAATGAAAAAAATAATTAAAACCATACAAAATTAATAAAATAAATAATGTAATCAATAAAAATTAAACTAAAACTGGTATGAAATAAAATAAGTATATACGGAGTGGTGGGTTTAACATTTTACACGCTATACGGAATCTTAATGTACTACTTATTTTTTGAAAGAACAAGCCGTCTGGTAAAGTTGAAATTATTTTTGATATTTTTTTCTAAAAAAACAAGAAGTGATACGTTAATACTTTGTATAATGCATAAAATATTAAAACTCACCACTTTGTATATTTTTATTTTATTTCTTACCAATTTAATGTTAGTTTCTATTGATTACCTTATTTATTTTATTAATTTTGTATCGTTTTAGTAGATTTTCTCATTTTCATTATTTTTTATATGGAGTATCTATTATTTTTATTTTTAAAAGTAAGACTAATCTTTAAAAAAAGAAAAATAAATGATGGAGGTAGAAAGTAATTTTAAAAATTTAAATGAAAATTTCAAAAAAATTAAAAAATGAAAATTCATCAAAAATAATCCCAATTTTCATTTTGTTGCGCAAAACACGTCATTTCCGTTAACCCGCCGTTCCCAACTTAACAGAGAGCCAAAACTCTCTCTCTCTCTCCTCCCTAGGGATAACAACGGTCAGGTTTGGTTTCGAGTTTAATATATCCAAATTCAACCTGATTTAGTTCGATCTGATTTAGGCGGGTGGAGATCAGATATTTTTCGGTTCGGATTTGATTTAAGGTTCTATTGGGTCGTTACAGTTAAAATCAAGTTGGAAATTTATTTCCATCCTCAGTTAAAAAAATCTCAATATTTTTATTATCATTTCAAAGGTATTCGTCAAGTAACTTGTGATTGATCAAATGTGCTCCAAATTTAAAATGACAAAAAAGTATGAGTTTATTTCCATGTATTTTTTTCAACCTCTAAACACTAGCATGAAGATCAACCACTTAATTATCACTCAATAAAGCATAATTACGCATGAAATTGTATTACACTACTGTTCGTTATTTGATTTGTAAAGCATAATAACTTAGGCGAGTTATGCTTTAATAATACTCCATATTAGCATCTTGCACAAATGATAGTTTTTCTAAGTTTTTTTTCATCGTTTCATACTCCTAATTTTATACTGAAGAATGGAGACGTGTTGCAAATTTCAAGATTCGAACTTGATCCGACTTTGTTCACGTTCAGGTTTCAAAAAAAAAGATAAGTCTCATCCTCGAGAACCCCCTCAGACCCACATTCAGGTTTCAATGTTTCATTTTAGCAAGTTGAGTTCGAATATTTTTCTCAATTTGGATTTGAATATTTTATGTTCTAGTCGGGTTCGGATTGAATTGTCATCCCTACTATTCCCAATGCTTGCACTTCCCGGGAGGACTCCCTCCTGCAACTACTCCGCCCAATGCGGGTGGCCTTACCGGACCCCTACTGCTCAATTAACCAATTCTCTTCGTCGGGAGAAAGAAAAAAGGGCACCCTAAAAATCTCAAAGAAATTAAATATTTTAAAAAAGTCAAGTTATTAGTAACAGCATACCGACAAGTCATAAACTTTTGTTCAGATCAAACACAGTGCTTGCACCAAAAACATAACAAAAAAATGGCGAACAAAACATGCATCTCTATGTATCATTCTTATTAACCTGACAAGGCAGACTTGAGCTCACCACTGTTCTTCAACTCCAGTATTATGTCACAGCCTCCAATCAGCTCCCCCTTGTAGTACAGCTGCGGATACGTCGGCCAGTTTGAGAATGTCTTCAATCCCTCCCTCACTTCCCCATCGCTCAATATGTCAAACGACCCGAACTCGATCCCCTCCTCGTTCAGAGCGTTCACCACCTTGGAGCTGAAACCGCACTTCGGCGCGTCCGGGGAACCTTTCATGAAAAGCATCACCGGCGAGGAACTCACCAACTCCTTCAACCGTTCTTCTTTTCCAAGAATTCCCTTCTCGACCAAAACCTTAGTCAGCTCCCCACTCTTTTGCATCTCTAACACAATGTCGGACCCACCAACGAGTTCGCCCTTGATGTAAAGTTGAGGGTAGCTTGACCAGTTGGAGTACACTTTCAGTCCCTGACGAACTTCTTCGTCGGTGAGGATGTCGAAACTCTTAAAACCGACTTTTTCCTGGTTAAGTATGTCCACTACTTTGCGGCTGAACCCACATTTTGGCTCATTCGGGCTCCCCTTCATGAAGAGCATAACTGGACCTGAATTGATCAGGCTTTGCAGACGGGTTGCTAGTGCAGCACTCAGGCCCGATCCAGATGACGGCTGTTCCTTAGGAGAGTTGGAGATTTCAACAGCTCCAAGATCCTTAAACGCATCCTTCAGTTCGCCACTTTCATGCATCGCAGTTGCAATGTCACACCCACCAAGAAGCTCACCCTTGTAATAGAGCTGAGGAAATGTTGGCCAATCAGAGAATGTCTTCAGCCCCTCTCGAACTTCCTTGTCCGTTAGAATATCAAAGGTTCCAAAAGCAACCTTCTCTTTCTTCAGAATCTCAACAACTTTCTTGCTAAAGCCACATTGAGGTTGTTCGGGACTACCTTTCATGAAGAGCATGACTGGGTGGGAATTAATTAGCTGTGACAATCGTGTTTTTAGTCCATCATCACCAAGAGCAGAGGGTGGTTGGGCTTCAACATGTGAATAACTGGTATTGTTCTTGGCAAGATTTTGTACAGTCTCAATGATGGTTGCCCCGGCAGCCATTCCCAGGCTAGCAGGGGCAGCAGGTTCTCCTGGTGTTATTCTCCCAGAAAGTTTGGAAACCTTGTTGGCCAAAGCAGAAGGATTGGCACCTTCCAATGTATCTATGGTTTTGCCATCCTAATAGAAACAAGAAAAACAACATAGCAATGCAGCCCATCATGCAAGGAATAAAAGCATACAAAGTCTGGAGGGAGAAATAGATGTGCCACTTCAATAGACAATTAAACATAAAAAAAAAGGCACATATATCTGAGCCTGAAACCTTATGGGCGAGATATTGTGAAGAGAATCATTTATGACAAATAGCAATAAATGGTGTTTAGGAATACGAAAAAAATGTGAAGGATCCATTTGCAAAATGAAAAATACTAATCAAAGAGAGATATATAGAAAATAATTTGATGGAATAAAACATGGGGGGAAATAGAAGAGGGACTCAAACTAAACAACTCTAGTTTAAAGATGCAATAAGTACTTATAAATATAACATCATTTTAAGTAAGTCGCATGCCCAAGACTTGCTTTCATACACAAAAAAACTGAATAGGATAATTGACAGAACAGTACAGCAAAACCAATGTCCATGTCCAATTACTTATAACGATCTTTTCCCTGGTACATATCATACACTCATACAGAATTATACACAAAAGTGAGGCATAAAAGTAAATGCTAAGAAAATATAACCTGCAATAAACAGCGAAACAATCAATAAAAATTTAAAAACTCTTGCAATTTATGTTACCTTGATGAAAACAAAATAAGGAACTGCAGACACTGAATATGCCTCTGAAATTTCGGGTTGTTCTTCAGCTTCAACCTGTCATTACAAGAGGGGAGTATAGAGTGTGTTTGTGTGTAAGAAGTTTGGGAAGAAAAGAAGGTTGACAACAGAAAGCAGTTGTAAATGAAAATTCAGATATGATCCTTCCATTTTCATGTCCACAGAAAAGTGTGAACTTTTTTTATAGAAAGAGGTTAAATAACCAAAAAGATCAAGAAGAGTGTACAATTTGGTTTGAATAAAGGCAAAGTAATTTTCATGTGCAGAAACAACTGACCACAAAAAAATATGATGATTTCAAAGTCACAATGAACAAAAGAATACTCTGTAAATAGGAATAGCAACTTAATTACAGACAAATCTCAAATGTGGATACTTTTAAAATGCGAAGCAAATGAATACTCTATACTCTCACAACTTACAATTAAAGAGATTCAGCGCTAATACCAAGAACAACAACCGAGTAAGATCCCACAAGACTAGGGTCTGGGGAGGGTATGTGTGCACAGACCTTACCCCTACCTGAGAGTAGAGAGGTTGTTTCCAAGAGACCCCCGGCAGAGCAAATAACATGACAACAAGATCACAAAAGCAAAAAAAAGGGTAATAAAATATATTCAAACACTTATACCAAATAACAGAAAGAGTAGAAGACAAAATTTACGCGGTATATTTATTTTATGGATAAAAAACATTGCTTAAAAGTAACAAGAAAGCTATCAACAAACATCATCTGAATTTACATCTTATACTCTTAAAAGTCTGCAGACTTTCTTGTGTGGCTGATCAAAGGGTGAGAGCCATAGCTAAATCACAAGTTTTGTACTACTAGTAATGTATAAGAAACAACTTTCAATTCAAGAGGAACAAAAAAACAAAATAATAGAACACATACAGTAGCAACACATATACAGTCAAATGTGGATAAATGATCCATAGCTCTCTTCTGGCAGCAAATATAATATTTCTCAGTCGATTTAGCATTAGCATCACAAGAATACCAATTACAACAGAAACAAGAGACGAATTCAACCATATACATCGCTAAACGTGTGAAATGGATATAATCAGGGGACGGAGAGGAAAGCTTTTACCCTGAGGAAGTGAGTATGAGGGATATCAGTGGAGAGGTGGGAGAAGACTTGGTCCATGTGCTTGGAAGCCTCACACCACGCGGCCCAGAAGTGCACAACCGCCGGAGACCCGTCGGCGATAATTTTGTCAAGCTCCTCCTTCGACTTCACCTCCTTGACAATTCCACCCATTATTCTTCCTTTGCCTCTCTCTCGTTCTCTTTCTCCCACTCGCTGTGTGTCGACGGTGACCACCGCAGAACTCCGACGCGGTGGATTCTGCTAATTCCGGATTTTTCAAAAGCAATTAGGGCTTTAACTGGGGTCGCCTGTGGAGAAAAATAGCAAAAGGGCTCCGTCCGCTTACAAGACAAAAGCTAGACTAGCAAAAATCATTTTGTTTTCTTAATGTTCATAATTAATAAGCATTTTTAATACTAATAACTTTATTAAAATTGTAGTATTTGTTTGCACATACTTTTGCAACTTAGATTGAAATAATGAGAGTTATTGCTTCAACTGGGATAGAGCTCGTGAGTCACGACCTTCATTTGGGGAAAAAATGATACTCAATTCGTCCCAAAATATTTTAACATTTGCTTTTTCAGAAGTCGCAGAAACTTTATTTATTTTTACATTTTTATTGGTTATTTGATAAAATAAAATATTTTTTGACATCTCTTATTTCGAAGAACTTTTAATGTAGTTTTTTGATATGTAAATTTTATTTTTTATTTCTATACCAATATGTGAATAAAATGAATTGAAAAAACTTGATATTTTAGCTCGGATTACAAGTGTGACAAATATTTATGGACGGATGGAGTATTATTGGACCATAGAGACTTTAGCCATAAATAATACATTTATAAATTTTGTAATTATTTTGTTTATTACTCTTTCATTTCTCCTATTTCCCTAAGAATCCTTAGTGCAAGATGCTTAAAGAAGTTGCTTAATGTCTTAAACTAAGGGAGATATATTCAATCACAATTTTGAAAGGTTTCGATAGGTTCTTTAAAGTCTATGGATTATATAAAATTTATGAATTGTTTTATATCTATGCAAAATTTGGTATATTTTAATGTATTTTATGGATACGATTTTATAGGATTCTGTCTGATTATTTATAATTCATAAATTATTTATACACAAATATGAACTATTTTATAAATTTATACATTATTGTGACATCAACTATTGTAACTAACTATTAAAATTACTCAATTTCTGGTTCGTGGGAATTCAAACTTAAAGCATAATAAATTTTAAAAAATAATAATTTCTACTTCCCAACACATTACACAACACCAAGTAAAAGCATTGTCCTAAATCTTCATAGAACCACCACTAAGCTACTTTCTTGGTAAGTAAATGTTAACTCTTAAGTGGAATGAGAGCAATCACAACTTCCTTAATTAAGAAAGATGTGAGTTGCTTCTTTTTTAATAGAGTTTTTTAGTGAAACGACTGTATCTTAGTTAAGAATTTTCTGTAAACAATCATCATTAAAGATGCTCTAAAATACTTCCGCAACTTATCCCATACAATTGGCGGTACGTTTGTTACGGTACAACTGTGAGCTTGAGTACATAGGAAGAAGCGACTTTCGAATTCGTAGCTGCGAATCAGAGGTGTGCGACCCGGCTATCCCCTCATACTCTATGGGAAGAAGAAGAGTTATAATGTATAAAGGACTACATAGTGGTTACAACTTACAACCACTTTAATATTCTATAACTTTTATTTATTTATATGTTTTCAATAATACTCCCTCCTTTTGGAAAAACACTTCCCATTTGGATTTGGGACAAAAATAAGGAAGTGTTAAATTATAGTTGATTTCCAATTTTGCCCTTGATGTGATGGGTAAAAGTAAGATGTGATGGATAGATTATTAGAGAAAAAGTATGATGTGATATGTAGGGTATGAAAAAGTGATGGTAAAAGTGGTTTTTTAATGGAAAAGGGAAGTGTTTTGTTAGAAGTGGAAAAAATGAAAGAGGAAGTGTTTTTTATAACGGAGGGAGTAATAATTTGATAAAATAAAACATTATTGTCATACTTTAATTTATAAATTTAAAAATAAAATAATTTTAAAAGAGATCAGATTTTGTGAGACATGGAGAGTAGAGATGATCAAAAGGATCGAACCAATCAAACCAAACTAGTCCTTTAGAAAGATCCGTACTATTCCGGACGAAATTAAGTTGGTCTTTTTTAAAAAAATCGGTCTAAATTAGTCCGGTCTTTGTTTAGAAATATAGACTTTTTGAGACCGGGTAGTCCGGCTAGGACCAACCCTACTACGGTTCGATCTCTATTTTATAAAATTTTTAAAATGTTACTTTTTAGTTTTTTAGAATACTAAAAAGTATACATATTACCGGAGTACATTTTTTATCTAATTTCTTCAATTATTACATGTTGATTTTTATAAAGTATTTACGCAACATAAATATATTCTTCTAAGTTAGATACTCCCTCCGTTCTCAAAAACACTTCCTCTTTCATTTTTTCCACTTCCAACAAAACACTTCCATTTTCTATTAAAAAACTACTTTTACCCTTACTTTCTCATACCCTACCTATCACATCATATTTTTCTCTAATAATCTATCCATTACATCTTACTTTTACCCATCACATCAGGGGCAAAATTGGAAATCAACTATAATTTAACACGTCTTTATTTTTTTCCCCAAATCCAAATGGGAAGTGTTTTTCCAAACGGAGGGAGTATTAAATACAACAAACAAAACATATTTTTGAGTATAAACTTATACATTTAAATTTGTTATGACATATTTTTAAATTTATAAAAATAATATGAAGCATTAAGTTAAATATCAATAAGATAAATGTATTTCTGTTTAAATAGTATGTAAAAAAATAGAAGTGTTACTAATGTAAAAGTTACGAAATATATTTTAATGTTCTTTTATTATGAGACTAATCTTAATTCGATCTCGATCTAGTCTTTTTATAAAAGATCACCGGTTCGGGACAGGTCTTGTCCTTCCCTCAATTTAGATTACCCAAATAAGATTATTGGTTTAAGACCAGACCGGTCCCAAGGACCACTTCGGTCCCAATTTTTCTCTGTCCAATTTCGATTTATCTCGATCGATCTTTTTTATCCCAACCTCTTTGCTCTTCTCTATTAATTGAAAAGTATATCAAAATAACTCTATCTTTTAAAAGAAAAGGTACCCACTCAATTTGCACATTCCTTATTATGATATTTCGATATATATTTCCTCCCTTGTCTTAGCAAATTCTAACTATATCTTTCACAGGAATTTCATGTATCAAAATATGAAGATTAAATGCAATTCCAAACCGTGACGCCTTTATGTTCTAACCATCCCAACCATCCTTGTTGGAAATGTTGATTACTGCTAAATAATTCTATATATATAATGAATTGAAGCCACTGAATGAAGTAATTAGCTAGCAATAATAACCAATGGTATTAATAATTGTATTCTACTAAATATACAAAAAAAAATGGCAGTGTTAAAGGTGTCTTGCACAATTGTTATAACTGTGTTGAGCATATTAGCACTTACCTGCTCTACTCACAAAGTTAATCCCCCACCAAAAGCAAGAGAATCAGTTGAGGGACAAAAGTCATCTACTCATGGTGATGACCACCATGCTTTGAGACATGGAGATGATCTTCATTCAGGCGGCATCCTAGGAGGTTGGGGCGGCGGCGGCGGTGGAGGAGGCGGTGGTGCCCCTACTGACTCCGGTTACGGTGGCGTTCCCAGCTCTGGTACTTGGGGTTGGGGCAGTGGCGGTGGTGGTGGTAGTAGCAGTGGAGCGGAGAGTGGCGTTGGAGGTCCCAATTATGGTTCTGGTAGTGGCGGTGGCGGTGGAAGTAGTCCTACTTATGGCCCTGGCATAGGTGGGGGAGGAAGTGGTGCCAGCTATGGCCATGGTAGTACAAGCGATGGAGGTGGTTGGGGAGAAATTCCAAACTATGGTTCTGGTGGCGGCGGAGGTGGCAGTGGCGGAAATTCAAGAAACGATGGAGGTACCGGCAGCGGTTGGGGTGGGCACCATCCGTGGGGATTCCCCTTCCCATTCGGACTCCCTCCGCTACCCTTCCAGTGCCAGCACATCAAATGTGTTGGCCCTACGTGCCCTAAATATCAAATGCACATCCATTTTGACAAGCATTATGAGAATGAAATTGTTCATGACACCAAACAAGACATGCCATCTCAATCTCCCTAATCAACACTTTCCACATTCCATTGTATCCATCTTCAAATTAGCTGTTGATTAAATTAAACAGCAATATTTGCCTATGCAACAATAAACAGCATTTGCCTCTCCTCTCCCGTACTAATGTTACCATTAAAAATTACTCTTATTTATGAATTTCAAAATAAAACATCAAAGTTACATGCATAATAATATCAAATGGGAACATCATATATAAGTTGAATAAATTAATACACGCAACCAAAGATCTTGTGTTCCTTTGGCATAAATGTGATTTTTCCATATTGAAGGTCGCATTTTAAATCCCAGTATATAAGGACGTTAAGTCTTTGTCCTTTAATAAGTACTCCATCCATTCCATATTAACTGTCTATTATAAATTTCTTGATACATTGAAAAATTAATGAATGTAGACATACTTTATGTCTATATTCATTCATTTTTCAATGTACCAAGAAAGACAAAATGGACAGTTAATATGGAATGGATGGAGTAGATAACATATGTATGAACAAAGTGTACATTTTAAAAGACTCAATATTACTAAAACAATACGATTTGGTTGCCCGTTCCGTTTGGAATACCTATGGCGTTTTGTTCGCAAAACTAATAATTTCTACCCCTAACTATTCCTATACCCCCGCCCCTCCACCTCAGCTCTACTTCTGCAGTTCTGCCCCCTAAACCCCAACCTCATCCAAGGGTTACTAAAAAAGGTGAGATATGTGGAGTTATACATTTAGGTCAAAACTCAAAAGCCATTTGGTGAGGCCTAAGGATAATATTTTCAATTAGTATTTTGAATTCATTTTTAATAATTCAAATATGTTTGAAAACACTTATTTGCTAGGGGAGGAAAATTCTTTCTAAGGCTGGTAAAGAAGTGTTGTTAAAAACGGTGGCCCAAGCTATGCCCCAATTCGCTATGAGTGTCTTTCTTCTTCCAAAGTCTACTTGTTCATAAATTGAGAAGATCATGAACTCCTTTTGGTGGGGGGAAGGAACGAATAGAATGGAGATTCATTGGTTATCTTGAGAGCGGATGACTAAGCCAAAGAAGTTTGGTATGTCTGGATTCCGTAATATTCATGCCTTTAATGTAGTTATGTTGGAAAATCAAGGGTAGCGATTCTGGACTAAGCCCAATGCTCTTGTGACTTGTGTCTTTAAGACACGATATTTTCCTAAAACCACTTTTTGTGGCAAAGGATAGGGGTTCAGCCAATAGTTATTGGAAAAGTTTATTGGCAGTCCAAGAATTGTTAAGGGGAGGGGGGCTAGAAAATGCATTAGTAATGGATTGGATACACCGGTGTGGGAAACCTCGTGGCTTGTGGATACTGTTGACCCGTTTCTTGCAACTGCTCGGATTTTGCAACTTGAACACTTAGGGGTTGGGCACTAGATCAATCAATGGGAGGGTTGTTGGAAGGAAGTGGTTTTCGGGCTATTTTGGAGAACATGGAGGTGGAATTGGTTCTTAGAGTTTTGGTGAATGTCCAGCGGCAAGATGGATGGTTCTAGAAAGATTATCTCCATGGGTGTTATACGATAAAATCTGGATATAGAAAGTTAATGGGAGAAGCGTTGTAGGTTTCTACTTTCATTGAATGGGGACGATTCTGGTGGGTACCGGCTGCACCTAAGGCACTTATTTGTATGTGGACAACTATTCAGGGTAATCTCCCTACAATGGAAGCTCTTGTTTCGAGATAGGTGGATGTTGATGGGGTGTGCCCATTTTGTGGATTTCAAGGTGAGTCTGTTGATCACATATTTCTTTGGTGCAAATATGCAGATTCGGTCTGGCGCTTGGTGGGGAAGGATGAAGAAAGGGTTATGGCATCCTCTTTTATTGATTGGTTTTGTCAACACATGCATGTGGAGTCATTGCAAGGAATGAAGTTTATTGTGTGGACGGTGTGGGGTATCTGGAAAGCATGGAATTCAGCAATTTGGAATGTCACGTTCCACTAGTTCAAATTATGGCACACTTAGTATCAACGATGAATGATAATTGGGCAAAGTGAGGGACGGCTAACTCAGCTCCAACACCTCGGTCTCAGGCAAGGGAGCAACGACAGTTTTCCCAATAGTGCTTCATTGACGCTACATTGTTTCCACATGCAAAAGTTATGAATTTTGGATGTGATTTGTTCACGACGGAGAGAGCTTTCATTGCTGCAAAAATGAAAGGATTCATAGTGCTCGGGACTCTTCATTGGCGGAAGCTCTTGCCTGCAAAGAGACTCTCTCGTGGTTGAAAGAGCGAGGAATTCGTGAGGTCAAGTTGATATCTGATTGTCAGGTATTGGTTCATGCTATTCAGCAAGTTGAACATTTTGAGTGTGCCTCATACCGGAGATTCATTATTGATGAATGCCTTTTGATTATGTCTTCTTTTGATTTTATTTGTATACTACCTCCGTCCCATTGTCTTTGTCCACATTTGACTTTTGGAACTGTTCATCTAAGCACTTTGACTCATCAAATTCTCTTAATGTGTAAGCCTAAAAATAGTCATGTGTGATCTTGTTTGATTCGTCTTAACATATAGATTATTAATATATAATTTTTATAATTTTTTAATATACAAATTACAAGATAAAATGAATTAAAGAAGTAAATTGAATGGTGTGCCAAAAGGTAAGTGGACAAACACAGTGGGACGGAGGGAGTACATTTCATTTCTAGATCTTTAAATTTAGTGGCGCATACCTTGGCTAGAAATAAAGAAATATTTGCATCAAATAGCACTAAAATTTATGTCTTTTCTCTAAATAACACTTAGATTGTTTTCTTCCTTAAATAGCACTTAATAATGTCCATAATGACCAGTGATGACAAACATTTATTTGAATAATGACTGATGGATAATGACTAAAAGTGCTATATTGGAAAAAAAACATATGTAGTGTTATTCAGGGAAAGTCATTATGTTTTAGTGTTATTTATGTAAATTCCTCATAAATAAATTGGGATGACCCAGGGTACTCCGGTACCCCGTTCGTAAAATTGACGGTTCCTAACCCCCCCCCCCCCCCCGCACCAACCCGAACACACCTCCACCCGACAAACTGATTTTGACTTTTGAGTCAAATTTTGACTCCAAATTTTTTGATCTATTATATACTCCATATTAATTTTACTCAGTACTTCACAATACTGCCTTTGTCTCAAAATAGCATAAAAGAAGAGGTGACATAATGACATTATTTTATCGAATGTACAACAAAAACAACAAAGTGCATAAATTCTGTGAATAATAAAGGAACAAAGGATTAAGTTATTTGTAAACCAAAATTTGTACCCATTTTGTACCCCAAATACCTGCAACGACATTTTGCGTTAGTGTGATCTCGGTGTGATGATTTATATTGACAAAAATTACCGATAAATTTTTTTTAAATTAAACTAACATTTTCTGTCAGTGTGAACCATTAAAATATCAATCCATTTTTTTGAGGTATAACTTAGGATACAGTGTACTTGTAGCATGGTTGAATAATAAAAGTAAAATAATTTATTGAGGGAAAGAGGTAATTAATAGAGAATTGGATCCGAAAATAGAAGAGTAAAAAAATGAGTAGGTTTGGTTTACAATTTGGCAAACTTCTTGAGATTATCAGCAGAATCTATGGCGTGTGGAGGAACAGACATAACCAAGAGAGTGACCCTCGAAGTAGACACCGTTACTTCTTCTCCTCCACCAGTCTTCCAGAGCCTAACTTCCCACACCTGAACAGTGTTCCTGGCGTCGACCGGCGAGGCCTCGGCGAAAACGAGGTCGCCCAATCGGGCAGTCCTCAGATGGTTGATGGTGAGCTGGATGCCGGCGACTCGCCGGAAACCGGAAGACATGTGGGCGCCCATGCTTGCCAGAGACTCCGAGATCAGCGCCGACACTCCGCCGTGCAGCACCTTAAACGGCTGGCAGCAGATCTCCGTCACGGGCAGCCGACCGGTGACCCTGTTCGGTGTTAGCTCCCCGATCTCGAACCCCACTGCGTGCAGGGTCGGATCCAGAATCTCTGTCTTTGTTCTTGATGAATCCATGGGGGTATTGATTTCTTGATTTTGAGGAATAAAACTTTCCCTTTGGAGGAAAAATGAAAAGAAAAATCAAATCAGGGATGGTTGGGTTAGAGAAGAACCAAACATTTATAGAAGGCAAAATTCACAACACTATTCTCAAATTTGTTTATTTACATAGTTACTCTCACATTTGTCTATTATTTACGTTGTTACTTCGTGATTATTTCATCATCAATGTTCTTCGGGTGCATCTTTTTAAACGGGGTTCTTAATATTTTTTATTGACTTCAAATTAAATTAATAGGAACAGACTTGATATTAAATATTAAAAAGATTTAGAAGTTTGAAATCTGATTTTTTTTAAAAAGTGATGGAAATAAGGACAATGGTTAGGCTTACTAAGACGTGAGAAAGTCGATGGAGAGAATAAGTTGAGAGAAAAAATACACGTCTGCATTTTAACTGCTCACTTAGCGCTAAAAAACGCATCCAAGTAACAACACTAATTATCACTACCAAATTTGGGAGCAATGATGTAAATAAAAGAAAAATGTGGGAGTAATGATGTAAATAAACAAATTTGGGAGTATTTATGTATTCTTGTCAATTTTGCCTTTATAGAAAGTCTATAATCAAAGACTCAGTGAATATTCATTAACGACTCGTTAATTACTATGGCAATGTGGCACAGGACATATACATATCACGTAACTAGTGTTTTAACCCGTGTCATGCATGGGTGGAACGAAATTTTGTTATATTCTATAATTTTTTATTAAAGACAATGTTCTTTTGGATTCTAACTTTTAGAGTTTTCTTTGTTGTGAGGAAAATATTTTTTAAAGAATCTAAATCTAATTTTCTTTGGTTACATAAGTAGTAAAAAATCATTTTTTTAAGAAAAAATGACTATATTTCCTATATATGAATGCCCATTTAATTTGTAATTTCTTGAGTCCTATAATTCTACGAACAAAAGAAAAAACTACTCTCTTCTCGTCCTCCTTACTTAAATCTTATAAAACAAAGATTTGTAATAGAGATTTGATACCTATTGTGTAAAACTTTTGATCTCGTTTTAAAATATGTATTTTTTATTATTTAACTTTACACGAATCATCATATCAAGTTAATTAAAACTAATTTTATTCAAGCGACGTAACGAAGAAAATTTGTGGACGAAGAATGTTTATTTATAAAAATCATACACTAATAAATAATTCCGAAAAATTAATTAAAATTTGGTACTTTAAATTCTAAAAATATTTTTTAAAACAAATTTTCAATAATAATTCAAGATAATAACATAATTTATAGATCTTTCGATGTATTATGATTAAATATATAATTGATATCACTATATTATTTTGGAAAATTATTTTAAATAATCCCATCTTTTCGTCACTGTTTTCAAAAAATAATCTCACTTTTCACTGTCAACGAAAGTAATCTCACTTTTCTGCATGTGCACGAGTTTTAATTTGGGCCACCGTTAAAAAACTAACTGCCACTTAACAGGATTTTTTGAAAATACATATTTTTGAAAAATAAATGAAAGATGGAATTATTTTAGGTAAATTTATTTTTAAATTTTTTGACATGCAAAGTTTTCTTAAGGATAAGAACCAAATTCAGATATTAAGGATTAAGAATATAGAATAATTGCTCGTATTTTTCTCAACCTAATGACGCACAATGAGTCAATGCATCTCCTTCGTTTGGAGTTCAAACTTGGGAGAAGTTCTATTCATAATCATTTTTATTTTAAAAAAAGGATAAGTCTTGAATTGTCTCTGAGGACTTCTAAGACCTGGTCAAACAGTTATTGATAAAAGATAAATTAAACTTTGAATCTGATACTTATGGAGGCCTAATGCTTAATATAATTGTCTTCCATCGTAGTTGTTTGTAATCAAACTCGAGTCTTACCTCCTTTATAGTGTCGAGCAATAAAATAGAACCTCGATACTCTATCGGCCAACTCCGTTGAAGTATTCACATTAATCTTGAGGGGCAAGGTTCCCATGACATTGGAAACCAATGTCATGGGATGACCCGAGGACGCTCCGGTGCTCCATTCGTAAAATTGACGGTTCCTACCCCCCCTAACCCCCCGTTAAACCCCCACCCAGCCCCGACCCGAACACATCCCCCACCCCCTTTAATTGCACCCCACAAGTTGATTTTGACTTTGGACTCAAAATTTGACTTCAAAGTCAAAATCAACTTGTGAGGTGCAATTGAAGGGGGTGGGGGGGATGTGTTCGGGTCGAGGCTGGGTGGAGGGTTTACCGGGAGGGTTAGGAGGGGTAGGAACCGTCAATTTTATGAACGGAGCACCGGAGGGCCCCCGGGTCATCCGATGACATTGGTTCCCAATGTCATGGGAACCAAGGGGAATCTTGAGATAAACATTATGCAACCGCCATTGATGGGTAAAAAATATGATTCTTCCCACATTAGTTAAGATTATGGAATAAAATTGTTTCAAAAAAAATATTATTTTTCTTTTCATTGATTAATTAAAAAAATAGTGATTTTGTGATTATTCTCCTTGCATTAGTTATAATTCAAAAAATATGATTATTCTATTCTGCATCGCTGCATCAATTTTAATCAGCGAAATAAATATTGTTCATCTCTCCCGCATTATTATGATTTTCTTCTCTCACACCGATTAAAAAAATATGAAAATGATTCTTCTCTCCCCGCATTCGTCCAAAATAAAATATTAGATTAACAATCATATGATTCAAAAAATAAAAATTAAAATTAATTAAAAATTCGATATAATTATTGTATTCATTAGAATTAATTAAATAAATTAATATAAAAAACATTAGTGACCCTATGATTTTGAATAGAAATTTACAAAAATATTTGATAGTTTTTTGTGTTTTTTCTTTCTATTTGAATGCAAAATTACTCATTTTTTAATTTGTTTGATTTAAATATTTGATCATTTTGAAAATAATCTAGTCATTTGTAGTATTTTAAGGTAGAGATTAAAATATACTGAGTATGTTTTATATTTTATTTAATATCAATATTTAAATAAATAATCTAGTCATTTGTATGATTTTTTAGAGGTTATGAAAGTAACTGTTTTTGAAGAAGGAAATCTCATTTATTAATTGATAGTTTTATTATAAATGTTGTGAAAAAGTATAAAATTAGAAAAATTTATTCTAGTGAAAGCGATTATCTCTTTTCCAAAATTAAATTTACTAAATAATGTTAAAATAATAAAGAATGTTAGTGCAAACATAGTATATCTTAGTAACATTTTTTATATCAATTGTTAACTATAATTTAACTATAAATGTTATATTCTTCAATTTAAATCATAAACAATATACGGAATATTAATCATAAATTGTATAACAATAAAATAAAATCATAAAATCAATATATTCGAAGTATGAAAATACGTATTGAAATGTTGACGCATGTCATTCTTTCAAAGATTGAAGTAAAAAATTTATATATAAAAGATAAATAAAGTATTATAACTTTCTAAATCAATAAATCAGTGTGAAGTAAATGAGTAAATGTGTTCTTATTCGATTTCTTTATATCCTTTTGTAGATTGTAAATTATTAGAGCCCACTTGTGTAAAAATGGTAACTTACACTATTATAATTTAGTTTAATTAGTTTAAATTTTTAAAATTATAATATATAATATTTTTAATATAATTAATGCTATTAAGCACGATCTTTTAGTGTTAGTATTTTTAAATAATTTGAATCCTTAAAAATTTATTCAAAAGTATGCGTCTTTACGTTTCGTTTGAATTAATTTTTTTTTCATTTTTTGCATAAGATTGACCCAGTTATATTCTCAATCTTCTAAAAGAAATACTTAGAGTAACTCTTTTTTAATTTGTCTAACAAAATTTACACTTTATCTATTTTCTACTCTATTTTTTTGAAAAATATTTTCTACTCTATGATTGACTCATTATTTATCCTTTTTCATTTTATAAATGAACGATTGACTCATTATTTGTCTATTTTCAATTATTTCATTGACATCGTATAAATGGAGAAATCGAAAATTAGAAATTATTCGGAATGGAAAATTCATTGAGTCTATGACATTCTTGTAGCTTTTTCAAAATTCAAAATTTTTTGGACTTACTCCGGAGTATATTTTAAGATATACGGACTAAAATAAAGCAAAAAAGTATTTGGAGTACGTAATACCTTGCAACTTAAATTGGTAATCACCTATTTTGATCCAAAATACCTTGTAATAGCTTTGGATTCAAGGAGATGGCAGGGCGAAATTTTTTACCTTTTAAAAAGACTTCAATTTAAGAAGGAAAAAAGATTTAATTTTCTTAAATGCTACTCCCTCTGTCCCAATTTAAATTACTTGTTTGCGTTTTTTCTCTGTCCCAAAATAAGTTGCATGTTAGTTGTTATTGTAAACTTTTAAAAATAAAATATCCAAACTATTCCTAAAATAAGTCACTCTTCTTCACCTTATCTTCTAATTCATAGTCACCCCTTCTAAAAAGTAATGACAATTTTGAAAAATCAATTTTATTTTTTCTTTTCCTTAAATATGCCCAAAAATCAAAACAAACGATTTAAAACGGGACGGAGGGAGTATAAAAACATACCAATCAAAGATGAAGTAAATTTGGAAGGAATTCTCTAAATTTAGCTCACTTTATTACGCCACATAAGGTGTTTTTGACATCTCGATAACTTTCTCTAAATTTAAGAATTCTCTATTTTGACATCTCGATAACTTTTATTTGTTTATTCGTTTTAGTTGAGTATTTGGTAAAATAAAATACTTTTGTCACATCTTATTTTGTAAATTTTTTTACATAGTTTTGACAGATATTATTTTTTTCTTTTATTTTTCTACTAATCTGTAAATAGTGATTTTAAAAAAGATAATATTTTACACATTGTTCGAAATGTTGTAAACAATTTGGGACAGAGGGAGTACATTTTTGGGCATGGTCAACAAGGATGTAACTGTTGGACAAACTGTCATTTGATAACAACATTTTGAAAGTTTAGTTGCACCGTAAAAAATTACAAAATGGTAACACTACCTAGAAAAAAAGGTTCATTCCAAACAAAGCCTAACTGGACATCAAAGTGGAAAAGTTAGGAAAAGCCACTTTCAGGTTTAGACCAGAGCTGATTGCCCATTTTTATGTTCTGAT